TAAACACCAACGAAGATACTCTGGTCACCCCGAAAACTGTTTTTAAAAATACGCCTCAAAGAAACGATTGCCATAATTTCAATTTTACTCATTTTCGAACAAAACTTGCAAAACAAACTATGGTTCCTGAAGATGGTCTCTGAACTGTTAACGCCTTGACACCTCACCCTAGAAGATGGTACCGCCTTTGCCCTCGGAAAGATTTATGGCCGTCGCTGTAACGGCTTCAACAAGTGTTTTTGCAAACCCTACACGTTCCTTGGTTTACTTCGTATTCCTCTGACGGTTTCTTATTTTATTGCGCGCATACGTGCCACGAATGGAATGAACAGATGATCGGTTGGGTGCATCTCCCCTCAAGGAAGTGCAGTTGCAGCGGTTTCTCTTGCTTCCTGGATGCAGTCAGTTCTTCGACCACTTCTGTACTGTAGGAAACGTCACAGTTGTCAGAATTCGCCATTAAATATAAAAACAAGTACAAAATATTTTAAAAGGGTTTCGGTGGGCGTTTTTAACACATCTTTTCGCGGACTTCTTTTACATTTATGTACAAATTGCAACGGTATTTATCGTGAACATGGTTCATTTTTTTAAAGTGAATAGCTATTTATAGTCTTCTCATATATTTTTAATTTAACAATTGATTTAATAGAGTTCATATACAAATGTATGTTTTTGTTTTCATAATCTTTTGATTTGAAATAGTTACACATTTTTGCATAATAAATGTAGAAAACTCTCCTTATGTAACACTAAAACGAAGTGTGGAATCATAAATAAATAGTTTCATATATTTACATAAAAGTCGAGATCTACAATTAAATTATTAAATTAAATTACGCCAAAAAGTGTTTATCGTATTTCATCATCATTTGAATCAGAGAAAATTCATTTCCATAATAAAATATCCTAAATCGTACTTTACGAACTCAAATTTAATTACAGTAATTCCAGGTCATTCAATGCTAGTAGTCGAAACAATCAAATCTCACAACAATCAAGATACATTTTGAGTAATGCGATATTAAAATACCTCCCGTTAGGAGTTTCTCCTAATAAACATTTTCGTAGCGTTCACGTTCTGGGAAACCCTAACGACTTCGCTGCATTACTTCATTTGTATCATTTCGATTTCGATCAGATCGCTGACTATGAAAAATGAACTCCACCGCAGTGAACAGCGAAACCTTAATTTACGATTAATAAACATTGACCAAATAATGAATATTAATTTACGCGCGCGCGAAGATAAAGATCCAAGTGTGCATTTTTCACACTTTTAACAAAACGTGTAAATTTTATTGCGAATGAATTCGTTCCATTGGATGCTTCGAGGCTCACAGAATCGCATGACTCCGCGCGCAAATCGCATTAAGCTTTGGTGAAAAGTGAAAAGATACGTTGAATCAAGTTGGATGGAGTTTTAGCAGCGAGAACTGCCCAGGCTGGGGGGAGTTTCTTGGAACACTTCGCGAAACGATTCGCCTGGCTAATTTCAGCATGTATATAAACGTTTGGTTTGGTGCTGCACGCGCAGAAATCGTCCATTTCTCGAGTCTGTTTCAGGTGTAAACAAACACTGGCTTCCTGCAAAATGAAGGGAAAGTTTCTGGTACGAGAACAAACTAAGCATCTCATATTCCGTAGTAATTTTATTTAATTAAAAGAAGAAATACATTATCTCTTCAGAATTAGAATTATTTGGGAATATATTTGATTCTTTTTTCCAGTACGCCATTGCTCTGCTGGTATTTCTTCTACTGTTGCATCAACCTGTGACGTCGTGAGTATTATTTACAAACCGGTAATCACATAATTGATAAATAATATATTTATGTGTTCGTTTTGTGTATTTAGATCGAAGGTGATTATCCACGTGCCTTATCGAGTGAAGAACGTGAAGCACACGCACATCATTTACAAGATTCTGCCGCAGTACGAGCACGAGCACGAAAAGGAGGAGTTCGAGGAAGAGGACAAATATGAAATTTAGTAAAATTAATCTATTAAGTGAATTAGGATGTAGAGAATAGTCATCACGTTGTACAAAATATGTTTGAACGGTATTGTGTCTGGCGAACTTGCTCAAGAGTAGATGTATATATCTTTAATAGTCTATAAAGCGTAATACTAGTAAATCTTAGTGTGAACAATATTTATTAATTAAATATTCTTCGCTTTGAATGATTTCTGTATACTTAGGAACGTAAGACAATCCCCTACTATTAATTGAAGATTTGCTATTTGTCACTGAATTGTATTGTAAATTGTCAAGTGTGAAAAGAGTCAATAAACACAGTTAAACTATGCTTGTCTATGGTGTCATTTCCATAATTTGAATTAACAATATAGCCTCTAAAACAAGAATCCTTAAGAGTAGGATAGCATCAATGATAATTTCGCAAACGCTAAACCTTAATTTCTCGACGACAATGAACCTCGATGACTTCGCAGACACGTGATTCCAGAGCATATCATTGGCATCTGGTTGGCAGATCGAGCATATCTCGTCGAAGTGGCGAAAGTGCTCGTTCGGCCGTAAAATATCGCGGGTTTCGATCGCAGTTCCGTGGTTCCATGGTATTCGCTATCGAAACGATGACAATTCAGGTGGAATATAAAGGAGGAGCATCATCGAGGACGTCAGACGACACTAAACTGCTGCTGGCGTCGCTTGCCAACTCGTCACTGGTTCTTGGAACACTTTCGTTGGAAGACATGGTAAAGACCAGCAACTGCTGCTAGGTAGAATTACACAGTGCTTACTGCATTTGCAATTATAGCTTCTTTGTTATCTGAAATCATAAATCATGAATTACTAAGCAGTCCTTTAACTAAAGCTTTTCACCGAGAAAGTAAAAGAATTAGTCTACATAGAGTTTGTGTATTTTTATGAGTTATGGAATAATTGTCAGGAGTATGAGCCTGGAAGTCAACCTATCAACCAACGATTGCTCGCGGAGATGAACCATTTTTGTAATCGTATCCTTTTTTTAATTCCTTAATCTTTTTGATCCATTTTATTCTTTTCCAGAAAGTCTGTTACCTCTTCTTCGCTCTGCTGATTGGAATCGTGAGTTACGGGAGAGCCCAGAAGAGACAGTAAGTAATTTCATTTAATACTAAATTCCTCTCCAAAATCTGCAAATGTTATCTTTAATTTATTTCTATTTTGGATTTTGAAAATGTTTTTTAACCACTACGATATGACCACCAGTGTCAGTGCCATGTTTATTATTTGAATTCTCTAAAATATTTAAAACATTTAGGAAACTCATACTCCATTTATTCACAAATAAACCCATACCTAAATTAATTTCATCCATTTGTTCAATACTTACACTCCGTAGTTTGCACTTGAGGATCTACGTGCCAGACATCGTGAACCACCATGTCCACACGAAGACGATCTACATACGCCTGCAGAAGCCGAAGAAGAAGCCCAAGACTCACCACAAGGAGCATCACCACGAGAACTGGAGCTCCTGGAGCTACGGCCACCACCACGATTACAACGACGAGCACGATCACGAGGATCACGAGGATCTAAGCGATCGCGAACCCCTCGAGATGGAGGAGCCTCGGGATCACCCGAAACAACACGTACACCCTGATGATTCTTATTTCCCGCAGTCCTACGTCGATGACAACAACCTCGAGGTCAATCCTAGAGGACGCGACCATAATCAGTACGCTGTTCACGAAAACGTGAAGGACATTCCACCCAACAGTGAATCTTTGCTGTACAATTACGAGGAAGGTTACAGGAAGGGTCTGGAGACGGAGAGTGGTCACATTCGAACTGGACAGACCAGCAAGTTTCACACAGATCAACACGAGGAGCAGAACGACGACGAGGCAGAGGGGTCCAAGGAAGATTTCACTGGGAAGACCCATTCTGGGAGATACCTGGTCGACGATGTGGAGTATGAAAACACTAGGGACAAGAGACAAGGTAGACGTAGACTTAGACGAATGAAAAAAGTATAGAATTTCGGAGAGTGTGATCTAGTGTGTTATTTTGTGCTTATGTTTATTGTGGAGCAGTAGAGATTTTGAGCATTGGGCTTATTTAGAAAGAGAACTTCTAGGTGGGACACGAAAATTTGTAAATATGTAAATTTCTTGGTACGACGATGTTAGAGTAGTGTTTCTCGAACTTATTGTTATTCTAGGAGATGATACACTTACTTTTTCTTCTGAGGCAATTTGAGAAACACTAAGCTATAAAATTTAAGCAGTATATTGAATACTTTTATAAAAAAGTTCGATGCTTTCATGTACATCGTCCAGATGTATAAGTGATTAATAAATGAGGGATCGCTGGGAATCGAAGGCTCAGACTTCAGGTACACACGCAATTTATTCAAGTTTCTCGTGACCCTGGATACATACGCATAAACTACTCGGGTCGCGATACGGGAAACAATGGGAGCAACAATATAGTGATTTATAACAATACGATAACAAGTAAACGGTTAACAATATTTACATATATCAGTACAAACGATTGCGTTAACGAGAGACTAGGACGAGAGGTAAGAGACAAGGTGATTACGTGTCGATGTGTCTAAGGTTTAGCAGCACTCCCCGGGAAACACCAGTCAAAGTGAAAAAAATATCTATCTCTCTAAAACAATTTCTCTTTAAAGAACCTAAACATGTCGTGCAAGGGAGGGGGGGTGTGCTGGTTGGCTTGAAGCTCGATGGCTCGGTACTGTAATTTCTCAATCACGGATCAACGAAAAATTTCGCCAAGAAGCTCCTCCTTCTATTCATCTATCCAAGAAAAAACGATAGCTTTATGAGCACCGGTGCATCTAGATACTATAACCACAGACTTTTACCAGTTCGTCGAGTAGATCCTCGAGTACTGTAGCAAAGGTAAACGAACAATGTCCAAGTTGCTTCAGAGCATCATCGACCGTGCTTCAATCGACCAACCAAGTCTTCGCGGAAGAGAACTATCCTATTTCTCCCAACATCGACGTCTCGAGTGGTTAGTGACCACCCCAGTCTTCGTGGCCCCCACCTCCGTATCCACCCCCACCTCCGTATCCACCCCCACCTCCATATCCACCGCCTCCACCGAATCCTTCATGGCCCCCTCCGCTGCTGAGCGCGATGTGACCACCGCCGCCACCACCCCCACCTCCGTAGCCACCGTGTCCACCGCCACTGCTGATCAGCACGTGACCACCGCCTCCTCCCAGTCCACCGTGACCACCTCCAATGTCGCCACCGTAGCCACCGCCTCCTAATTCGATGTGACCACCGCCGCCACCTCCACCACCGCCGCCGTACTCGATGTGACCACCGCCATAGTCTCCTCCACCGCCGCCACCGAAGTCGTGGCCACCGCCGCCACCGAAGTCGTGGCCACCTCCTAAATCACCACCACCGTGACCACCCAAGTCGATGGGGTGGCCCACGGTGTAGCCTAGGACTTCGTACTTGTCGCCACCCCCGCCTCCGTGGTGGATGTGCTTGGTGATGGTGTGCGTGTGGTGGATGGTTTTGATCTTGTAGGGCACGTGGATCACCACGTGGTCGCTGGAAAAATGAATGGGGGGTTAGATTTGAGTTGGGCTGTTGCATGGTTGTAAGAGGGCCTTGAAGCTTGAGGGATGGTCCCTCCCTTCCGATGGTCAGATTGATATAATTTTGGGCTAGTTTGGGAAATCGTGATGGGAGTAAAAGATTGAGTCAGGGTCTTTAACAATGGTAAACCTCGTAGTTATCTATAAGCTGTGATTACGATGGCGCTGGAAAAGTTGAATGGAAGTAGTTTAATTCATTCTACAAGTGAGAATTGAGTTCAAATTGAAAGTATACAAAGTGTTCTTGAAAATGACGGGAATGTGGATAAAGTTCATTAATGACCGAATCGTTCATCGAATATACAAACGTTCGTTTAGGTTCGTTCCCCGACTCGTTAATTTTCATGCCTGGTAGACACGGACGGTTGTGCGTGCAATGAGGCATAAAGCTGCTTCCTAGGTCGTTGAACGAGAACAAATCAACGAGCACGAAACACTCGACGATCGAACGTCTCGTTTTTTCATCATTGCTTTCGATAATGATCGCAGAATGTCGTAGCAAACGTCGATAACGGGCGACCGTAGTGAAAGTCACAACTCTAACGACGGGATGTGCTTTGTTATGCTTCGTCGGTTCAGTTCCGTGGAAATTGTTCCGCTCGTGGTCGTTACAAGATCTGATCGTCGCTGTTCTCGATCGAGGAAACTTGATTTTACAAAATTTTCACGTAAAAATTCGCGTTGTCTTTAAGGAATGAAAAAGTAGAACTTACTGTCCACCATGGCTTCCAGCACAGGCCAAGTTGATCAGCGAGGCTACCGCAAAGATGGTCGACTGGAAAAAAGTGTTTAGTCAGCGCCGCTAATTCGTCGATACGACAAACTGGGAATATTTCATTAATGCGCCCCGTGGACTTTCGAATTCGTGGCGAATCTTTATTCAACCATAAATACATAGCTTTCTGGCAACGCGAATTTGCGCATACTTTTTTCTACGAGCAATTTATATCACTTTTTATGCCTCTCACTGCTAAGTGACGAGCTATGAGCACCTGAATGCAATTATTAAATGCACGGGAATTTCAAAATTGCTTTCTAGGTTCGACTCGATTGGATTCTGAAGTAGAAATGAGAACTTGCAAAGGAAAACTCGACTTATCCTGGACGTTTGTTATTAGATAAAGTACATGTCACAATTGCAATATACAAAACGTTAGGCATAGATGGTAATGGCAATAAATATTGGATATTTAAAAAATTATAATGAATATATGGATGAAGTAATTTGTGGTATACATATATTGAGCGCATATTGCTATACAAATAAATAGTAAATTCATTCTCAAATAATAACAATTGTTCTCTCAATTCATTTGAAAACTTATCAACGCCTTATCCCTTGCGATTTTAGCTAAGGGCTAGTCCCCCCTTTTCTCAAGATTCTCGAACCTCTAAATTTTCATAATACATACCAATTATTAAATTAAATTATTTTTCTTTTGCATTTACATTTAACCAAAAAATATCAACAAAGAAATCTAAAATTACAGGACCATTATCTTTCACTTTCTTAAGATTCTCGAGCCCTACCACTTCAGCAATAAATATCAAACGCGATTAAATTATTTCTCTTTTGCATCCAGATTGTACCAAAAAGTTCAACGAAGAAATCTAAAACTCCCTTTTCTCAATCTATTCAATCTCACTATCTATTTAACCTAAGTATCTCTCAAACTCCGAAGAAACCGCGAATCTCACCAAAAATTTCTTACGATCTCCCTATCTACTCACTTCGTGTTATCACGAACAACCACGACAAAATCACGCTCCGATCCTAAGAGAACGACTTACCGCGAGATTCGTCATCGTGTTCCGCCCTCTGCACTCTAGGTTCCTAGATAGAGTAAACCAGCTCTATTAGACGATGGTGCACGCCCGGAGGACCAGCTGCCGGTTCCTCCTCGCGATATACTTGGCGGTTTCAGCCGCGGTTTTGATCTGCTGTCTACTGTGCACACGCTTGCCGCTTTTATACACGTACGTGATTGGGAGTCGGATAAGAATGAAAGGGAATCTTTTGCACCCGCTGCCAGCGCACGTGAAAGGAGCTGGCTAATGGGGAAGACGTGGCGAGAACCGGAGGACCACCAGCCCCTCCACCGTGAGGCTACCCTTCACCTCGTTCCGTTTCTTTTCTTCTTTTTTTTCCACTGGCCGACGAACGCTGTAATTCCCGCGGTTTGCTGGTCTTTTTAATGAAAGCTGAACGCTGCCCGGGTGAACGGCCAAGATCAAGATCAGTCCTCGTAATACGAGGTGGGTGCACTCGAATCGTTTCACTCGTATCTCGGTTCTGAGAACGAGGAGATCGACTTCGCGACACCATCGCTCTTTTTACTATAACTGGACTCGACGTCGCTCGTTATCTCGACGAACGTGTGTTACGCGAATCGTCATTTTCCGCGTTGGTTTTTTGGGGGATGATATACAACGAGACTGTTTAATTTTTAACCGACTTTGAAAAGGAGAAGATTACTCAATTCGACATGTATATTTTTTTTTTTTTTAAGTTATACGTACGATGTTTTAGTGTACTATACCAGTTGGGCGTCGTGGTTTCACCTTTGCTTTCTTATATGATTGTTTTTATTGTTAAATATGCGCATCTTTAAGTAGCTGAATTTTACTGTCATTTGTTTTCCGTAACTCAGAAGTTTCAATCGATATTTCTGAGTATCGTGTAATCTCACCTTTATTTACGAATGTTGAGATTTCGAAGTGAAACTTTATTTTTATAAAAATAAAATATAGCCATTTTAGCTCTTTATAATATTGGTATAAATCATTGTATACAAATGGTATTTATGAAATTTAAATTTGATTTAGTAGAATCTAAAGATTCTATAACGAGTAGAACGACTGGTATTTATGAGTGTTGACAAGTATGAAATCTTTACACGGAATTTTTTCGTTACAGTAGTAACATAATTTTTACATGTATCTTCATTTTGTATATTTTTAATTGCAAAACCATTTCATAGAAAATTCCAAATACCCAATACCTAATTAACCCCTTCCACCTTAGCTTTTGTCAAATTACAATGAAGCCTCACAAGAATATACGATTACAAAAAATGAACATCACTTGTGCTAAAACAAATTATCCCTTCTTATTTTATTTATAGCCAACCCGATTTGAATAAAACTCATATCTAAAAGAAAATAGTATTCAAATAAAAAACATCCGAGTCGAAAGGGTTGACCATTCTGTACTCGTACCTCGTCAACAAATACACGTACAATCTAACTTTCATTTGTCATTTAAAATTTTCGATCTATTTCCTTGATTCATGGTTGTTGTTTCGACAGCTCACGAAGCATGTCTGCTTCCCAGAAGGAAAACCGCGTCTCTCGGAACGTACTCCACGCGATTGGAGCGAAGGAATGCAAGCCAGGTCAACAAACTGTCTGATAACATAATCTAATTGCGGTTTGCAGTAATTTCTACTCATTACAGCTCCCGTTTCACTCGATGTACGAGATAACCGCATCACGAGATTCTTTCAAGAGTACCGATCTCTTGTACGAGCCAAGATACCGATCTGCAATTCGTTGCAATTAAAAGAATCTACCCGTGTTTCGATCATTCTTTTCCACCCGTTGAAAGTCGAAATTGGTAGAAATGTTCTCGTGTCTTAATTGAAATCAAGATAAAGTATGATCAGGCATACATAATCGACAACAGTGATGCAGCACGAGGCAGCATTTTTATTATTCAAATATGAACATGAAATATTTTAATTCCTTAACGAAATATAAATATCGTGTATTTTTGTCTTGATAAAATATACGTATCACTCGAGAAAGTCCAACGATTATGACGGAAACGCACAACGACGATCCTTCGATCGTGTTCATCGCAATTAGACGTTATCATTCTGTGAGCGCTTTCGTGACATTTACATAACACGAGGAGAGAATTCTTTCGCTGTTCCAGTCCGCGATCGTCGGTTTCGCGGACGTTCTATGCCCGATGAAATGCATCAAACATGTTAAAGAAAGTTTCAGACTCGATTAGACGGTCACTTGTTCGGACAAATCTTAATGAAAGTTGTTTGAATCATTTTCGTCCGCTCCCTTCCTAATGGTCGCCGACTCTTGCGTCGCATATAAGCTGCAACGTGTGCGTGTAAGCGTTACACGTTTGAGCTTGGCGACTTCGTTTAGAATGGGTGAACATAGTTATTATACTTGGTGAGTTACATAGTTAGTAAAACGTTTGCTAAACATTTCCATTGTTGGACTGTTTCTCTGGTCGGAATTGTTGCATTCATATTTTAATAAAGTATTTATCTGAAGAAACAGTAGTATCTTCTTAAGTGACTCACTTCGGGAATAGAGCTCCAGGGTTCAAGAAAGGTACTTCATCTCTATTTATTTTGAAGGGAACGAGCAGTTTCAGGGGATTTGAAATTTTAGGATTTGCGAGGTAGTTAATAAGATTTTGTACAGAAAAAAAATTCAGAGCTATAACGCGTTTGGTTTTCGAGAGATAAATCTCGCTCGTGGAGACTTCAATGCGTGGTGAGTACCAACGCTAGACGCAAGTGTTAAATCTGCAACATTTTTCTTCATATTTGAAAGAATTGTTATATTTTCATTGCTCTACTGCATTTAAATTCTACTATACCACATTAACATAATACATTAACGCACTATTTATTTTAATTAAGACAGTTACATCTCATATTAAAAGCATAATTCCACCTACATATATAATACACACTGCGCGTCACCTCGATTCTCAATTATCGCTTAAATATTTCCACGTTAACATTTCCTTTTAGAAAATCTTCTTCGACTTCCCATCGGACCCAACACCTGCATCCAACGGTACGTAAATATTAATTTTTATATTCCCATCCCATTATATTCTCCATCACACGAAGTACATCGTGTACGTAAGGTAAACCGGTCGTTAAACACTCGTTAAAGAAAATGGAGTGTGCACAGAGGCGGATAGCTTCAGGTGCTTCCATATTTAACCTCGAAACCTACGCGAAGATCTGAGGCTCTATGTCGCCAAAGAACCGCAAGAATTCACAATAGAAGAAACGTTTCCATAAGTTTCATCTTCGCGGTGCCATTTCACCAACTGCTCCGATGTATTCCCTTTCACGAAACCGATCCGCGCGATCGCCTTCGAGCACGCAGAAGAGGATCCATAGAAATCGGTAAGTCGATCCCATCCACGGCGTTCTAGGATCGCGTGCACTTTTGCCAGACGATAAGAGAAAGGGAAACCGATCTCGTACCCTCGTAAAACGTTCACGGAGACCAAATTGTACGCGCATTCCGTCGCGAGGCAGAGCGAAAACAAAAACGAGCAACTCGGGTATCCTTTTCCTAGCGGATCGCGGGACCGTGACAGTGAACTCTCTACTGGAGGAATTCCTATCGAGTCGAGACACGCCATTCGTTCGATTCGGTTCCGCGTGCTCCAGGATGGGAGGCGTTTTTATCTAGGAGCGACAACCTATTCTGTTGGGGCGGATCGAATGGAATGAGGTAATATTTTCTTTATAGGAAATTTTGGGCTATCTATGGGAATAAAATGTTAGCTTCAATAATGTTGTATTAACATGCCAATTTTAACGAACCTTGATCCTCGAGGTTGCAAGTGAAATGTCGATTTAATTAAATTTTTCAAAAAGTAACAGGGGTAGAAGAAAATTTTAAATATGGAAAAAGTTAAAATCGTCGTGTTACAGACGGGTGATGTTCGTTATAAGTCAACCTCCTGAGGGATATTGACACATTTGTGTACATTTGCGTTTATATCGAAATTGTCGTTATTAAGATCACGATGACTTTTAGAAATGAAAATTATACAATATTAAAGCAAGACAGTATATACTCTACATTAAATGAAATGAATTATAAAACACTTCTGTTGTAAGAAATCTAAAATCTAAAATTCTACATGAAATTTTACATTTATTGATAAAATTATGGAATACACTGAGAAAATAGTTAGACTTCTTGAGATCCACTGAACAATTATTACATGTACACACTCAAGAACTACTCAGTATGTTCTGCTGCAACCTTGAAATGCTAATTAGAGATGCGTATTTCATCCACTCTTGACAGTGATCCTTTAAAACAGATGTCTCCCTTTTTTCCTCATTCTAATAATTCACTCTAAGCAGTGAAAGTTGCTTCTCATATGGAACATTGATTATACTTAATGCATATAGATCATTCGGTACATCGACATCCTGGAAAATTTCTATCTACATAGCTGGTAATTACGATTCGTCATTTTGTGCGAACAGTGATTCGAGAAATTAATAAATTGAAGCGAAAGCTCGCATTCCTTGGACTGCGAGAGTAGGATTACTAAATCCTTAAAGCTTCCAAGGGAGAGTTGTCGCGAAAGATAACACATCTTATAGTTTTTATTTGGCACCAGTTTGCACGCAAATTAATATTGGAAATTGCAGTACGAAAAGCATTTCTTAACAGAACCATGAGCCAATTTTATTTTCGATTGTATAATTATGTAGGTTCACGTTAAGTGGAGTACACGCATTATTCTGAACCTGTTGGAAAGAGTATAGTTAGTAACCCTATATCGAGGTCATTCGTAGAAGACACTCGAATGACACGAGTGCACCCACATTGATGGCGTCGACGATTGCGCTAATAACACGACGTTGTTCTCGTTGGATTTCTCTGCGAATGCCTCCAAACCGCACGCTCTCACCACGAATCGTACCTCGTATCTGCAGTTATTATAAATTAATTTTTCCAGCTTTAGACAACGATTTTCTAACTTTCATACACGTTGTAATTATGAACGATCGTGAGACACGAAAGACTTTTGTTATTTTGTACCAAAGATTCCGAGCCTTTGGCACGAACCGTTGTATTGTATTTATTTAAACAATTATATTTAGTAAGGAGCGTGTTTCTCAACTGAAGGGAGAAATGTTTCATATTTCATGGAAGATAAAACAGAAACTGTGCGAGTTGGAACGATGCAACGAGATGGATCCTATGATCTCACTTCCTTTATGTGTGTATTGCCTGCAAAATTCAATTGTACTTCTTTGAAAATGGAACCACGTATTTGTTAAGATAGTTATGCAGAGCATTTTATTATTGTTCATTAAAAACATTAAAATTCCTCTTAGAGTATACAGTTTTTGAATACCCCTCCCTCTTGATACTTTCACAAACAGAATGAGAATGAGTGAATTGATTGTAAGACAATGTCTTTCATTAAGTAATTTGTTTTACCTATAATTACCTCAAGATTTAATGCTTAATTATACTATCTACTAATCAGAAGAGCATGCAGATTACGAGAATTTATATATTTGTTTCAGTCGCACGAGTGAGCATGACAAATGTATGCGCGTGTGTGAAAGTAATTAATGATTCGTAAAAAAAGAAAATCTGCAAGACTTCAACCGAGATAAAACCATGCCTCACTTTTTAACATTTTCACACCAATAGTTACCTTGTATCTAATATTAAGCGTCTTGTATTTTACATCTCAAATAAAAGTTACAATTGAAAATTGAATAACTCACGAATATTATTCTCGAATCCTGCAATAATTTTAATTCCTCATTCGAAGACAATGCTCTTATCAAAATAAATTTCCTCATTGCGGAATCGATTACAGAAGCGTTCTAGGATCTCCGAACGATCGGTGGTAAATAGTAAAGCGTTCCCTGTGTTTATGCAAATGCATGGACGATGAAACGGAAACTAGAAAAAGAGGAGAATTACGCGGGGCGAGCCCGAGACTTTCGACGTGATCGCTTTCACCCGTCGGGGCGATCGCTTTTTTCCTTCTTTGAAATACAGTTTGAAAATCGCGCATTTAAGGAGTGAATGACTTTCGAACGCGTTTTCCACATTGGAAACGAGCGAGAAGAGCGATCGCTTGAAAGTACGTCGCGTGAATGAGTTAATTGATTCGCCGACGCTACGCTTTTTTACGCTGACGACATCGTATCGTTCAGTAATTTCGTGTATGTGGACCGTAACGATGAGCAACGCGAAAAAAGTACAGGAAAAAGGAAAGAAATTGTTCGGTGAGATGTTGTTTTGATACCCACGCGGAAAGATGACGCCAATGACGAGGTGATATTCCATCCATCTCGAGACATGGGATCCAGAGATGGGCTGGTCGTATTTAGCTGTTGATTATTATTATTGAAATGTGAGTTGGAAAAATTAGACATTAAAAGCGATATAATGGTTGGATTCATTTAATATATAAATGTATTATATAATGTAATACATAAATATAATTATAATGTAATTTATTATTTAATAATTAGGAAAGATTATATTGCTCGTCAATTACGATCAATGAAGTTTCTAAATCAAGTTAAAATGTACTGGTTTATATTGAATTATTGCAACCAACAGTATTTAATAATTAAATTTTTCCTCGGATAAATTCTGTGAAATGTTAAGAGGACCTTAAGAATCATTGATGATGGATCACTTCCATAGTGCTGCTTCGTTCTGTAATTAATAAAACAGTGTCACCTCGACCGATCGCAGTAGATCACGATTTCTCACGTTGAGAAAGTATGACATCAGCCGTGTAATATGTGCAATTTGTTTAATAATATGCGTCACGAAATTACACAATGTCTGTTGCTACTTGGAACAGACGCTTACAAAAGAAAATAGCGTATTCGAGTCCTTTCACATTCGTCGAGGTTGACATTTTTTCACGTAACTCATAATAGCTGTCACTATGTATTATTATATAATACCGAGAATGTTGTTCAATTTTCACGTTATAATACTCCAATTTATTTACACGTTCGCTTCTTTTTTGTATTTTTACATAAAGGTTGCACTAAACAAAACTATCGCAAGGAATGTTCGTATTACATTATATTAAATTATCATATATTAAATAATTTCTATCAACCTCTAAAATATTGATCAAATTAACTGCACCTTTTCTTCCATTTCCATATAAAAAAAAAATTATTTAGGTGCAATAATTTTATAAAAATTGAAATTACTTGGAACATTGTATTATAATAACTTCTTGCAATGATTTTATTTAGTACATTCTTAATATAAAAATTTGTGAATTCTTAAGGGGACCGAGAAGTAATCAAAATTTCTTCGACTTGGAAAAATTTTGCAACGAAAAATTGAAGGACTTTTTTTAAAAAGAGAATTGAACAATTGCCTTTACGCTGACAAAAAGTGATAGAAAATGATGGAAATTGCTTTGTTGGTTAGTATTTAAGATTTCGTTAATAAATAAATGTTGATAAAATTTTGATTAATTTTCGGTCTCCCTAATATTTAAGTGCAATGATTTCATAAAAAAAATGTGAATTACTATATTGTAGTATAATTCGAGCGATCGACGAGCATCGAGCCTGACCGCACTGTTGGTCGCGAAATGTAGGCCGTCGGTCCCGTTCTTGTTGGTCGCGTTTTGGAAAGCACACGCCTGGGCCGCGCCCGACGTTAGACTCCAGCCTCGAAGAAAGTGTCGATTTCCCCCTAAACAAAAATACGCGTTAGACGTCTCCTTACTCTCCGTTTCGCGTCGGCGGCGTAGCCCCGTCGTTCCTATCCTCCTGGTGATCCCCAGCGAACGCGATCTCTTTCCACCAAAGGGGCTGCCAGCCGACGGTGGGGAGCTGGGCCCGTTCGCCCATCGGGCCTCGATTATGCTCTTTTTATCTTGTATAAAAGAGAAGAGGCCTGCGCGGACCTCCCGCAATTTATCTGCATCGGCTGGAGCACGCGGAACGCTGGAGGAGACAGGTGCAGATACCACAGCACCGACGCAGCGTGCACCCTGAGCCAAAGGATTAACCTAAACGCTGTGTCGGAGGGTTTGACCAGGCTGATCGAGTTACCAGGACACGGCGCAATGCGGTGGTCGGTGAGTGAGAGTCCTGAGATCTGTATTTTGGGATTTGGGTGGTTGTTGTCGCTAAAAGTTGCAAATTGAGCAGTTTGTTTGGGTATTTATAATTTCTTTTTGAAATTAGGGGGTTATTAAGGACGCTTTTGGATAAATTACGGAGTTGTTAACGGGGCATTTTTGATATTGATAAATTGTTGATGTATTCCTTTGGCTCGACTCTCCTTGAATTTGAAATATATTCCAGTACAAGATTTTGAATAGGTTGTCGATAGTTTTAGTGTTAAGTAAATTTTACTTGAAAGTGATCTTCAATTGCTAGGAAATTATGAGAATAAAATTGCTTTACTAGTTTCTTCAGTTACCTAACTAACTCTTGATTAATCTCCACAGGCTATCTGCATTCTGATGCTGGCGATCAGCGAACCTCTACTCGTTTATGCGTAAGTATACAAATTTTAACATTTTCATACCTTACCTTGTCATGCATATGCCCGACACAAATTTCTCTGTTATTTTCATTAAAATCTATTTTCTATGGAAATTTATACTATACATATAGTTGATCGAAAGAAAGGTTTCAACTTAAATGTTTGATTACGAATAAACTGTTTCCTTTCAAATAACGTTAGACAGAAAATTGAAAACCTACAATCGATTTATAATCAAACTAATAAGAGTAATAATACAATTAAATAGTGCTTCAATTCGTCCATGTATCTAATAAACTGTCATTGTTTTCAGGGCCAAGGTGGTGGTGGTGGTTCCCCAGCAAATAAGACGCAGTCCAGCGCCATCTTGGCGTTCTGGAGCGCCAAGATACAGGAAGTCATCTCACGGTGGCGAATTCCACCCCAGATATCACGGACCCATTGGTCAATATCACGTCAAGAAATCCATCTATCCGAGTCCTCCCTATCCTCACGGAGGAGACGACTTTGACCAGGGTCACGAAACCGTGAACCACGTGCGATTACCATACGGGAAGGATGTCAGTCACGCCATAACCTTCGGCAAGGGGTACATCCCGTACGATCACATTAAGGGCAGCTTCTCGTTTGGACGTGAAAGGTAGCAGCAAAGTTCATTATCTTTCTAATATTTCCCCTGTAAGATACTTCGTAATCATACTGTGGATTATTAAAATCTGTAAATTGTAAATGAAACTTTCGTACACGTTCGAAACTTTAGATCGTACATATTATTGTAAAGTTGTGAATGTTATTCGTCATTATTCCGGTGCGTACACAGTCCTCCAAAGAAACGAGTAGTTTTAGGTCGAGCGTGTCTGATCATAGACGGAGCATTCTACTGCGTCCAGTGGAACGTGACACTCTTGACCTGGCGAAGCTCGATTGGCATCATTCCCTCGTCAATTAACACTCTGAGTGCCAGATATACTCACAAAAACATTTATGAAGCTAAAATCTTGTTTTTATATCATTGGAAACTATATAATTTAACATTTCCGATAGTACTTATATTCACAACCCAATCAAAATTCACGAATTTCATCCAAACTTGTTTTCTTCAACACCTGATCATCAAAATTAATTTTTTAATTTCTTAGTGAAAATTTCTGTCACCTACAGTCAGTCTCATAAGTATTCGTACCTTCAATATCTATTAAAGAAATTTGCCTAAATTAAATTACAGGTTTAATGTTTCCGAAGAAATTTTTCATTAGAAGTATATACATGTGTAAAGTTTATTTATATACATATTTACAATATAAAATTTACTCGGAAAGATCAAGCCTATCATTTAATTTAAACAAATTTCTTCAATAGACATAGACTGATTGTATATATGGTGATCAACATGTTAATTGAGAACTTCCAACTAAAAAAAGGTGCCTTCTCAATCCTAACTAATTTAATAAATTCACAGGTACCCAGGACCTCCAGATCACGAGCAATCCGAACCAGTCTACGCCCCGACTTCGTACTACTCCTCAGGCCCCGAGTACACCCCAGGACAAATGTACGAGTCCTCCCACGCGGAAGCGTTCTACAGCGACCCAGAGAGCGCCATGAGCTACAACGATAAAAGGAACGATCGCAAGAGGTTCTACTCTGCCAGGTCCATCGAGAAAGACGTGACAGCGAACAATCCCCTGGACTACGCCTCAGCCCTGAACCAGGAGAAGGAACAGCTCCTGCGTTTGCAGTTGAAGGCTGCAGACTTCTACAAGACCGTGTCCTTACAGCAGCAACCGCAGCAGCAGCTGCAACTGCAACCTCAATCACAGCCACAACCACAGCCTCAAGGCAACGTGGTGTGGGCGTCCAATATCCCCTCGCCTACCATAGGCGGAAGCAAGGAGGGAATCGTTATCAAGGACACGGTCTCCTTGGAAGAGTACCAACAGAAGCTCCAAGAGATGACCAAGTCGTGGCCTCAGTACCTGGCGAACGGAGGGACCGCTTTGACCGGCGGTTATCAGACCCAACAGGTCCCAACGACCTTTCCAGCTGCTGGTCAGCAGACCTCCTTCACTGGGTCCATCAACTGGCCGGTGAACGTCGCTCAGTCGAAGCAGGGATACGCTGTGAAGGAGGACACCAACGAACCCCCTCCCGACTTCAGGTCCATGCCCGTTCAGGCCAACGTGTTCCAGGCGTTCCCTGTGTCCACGAACAACATCCTTCCGACTGTGACGCAGACGGTCCATGGGTAGACTTCGATAGGATTAGGTTTGAACAGGAATGGGGAACCTGAAAAGACCTTGGAATTCTTAGGTGCTTGTTTCGAAGATTTGGTAGATGTTCATGTCAGTAGAAGTGGATTGGGAATGTAAATTATTGCTAGAGAATAGAATTATTGTTAGAGATTTTCCTAGAAATTTTATATTTACTGAAACAATCTGCTTTGACTGTAACTCTGCTTGATTTTTAAACATTGGATAGTAGAATATCTATTAAAAAATTAAAAGCAATGTTTATAGAAATAGATGTCTTTTACCTCAATGAAGGTCGTCTTCATTAGTTCTAGAAATGAACACTCTGAAGAGGGCCCTTGTAGAGGTTGAAAATACTTTTTTCGATAAATAATTCATTAAAATATATATTATTTATTACTATTCATAGATTACTCGAGTGAAAGGTTCCCCAACCCTGGTTTAGACACTTTTATGGATACATTGACATGCATGGAGGACGTGGCCCATGTGCAATTAGGTTAAATGTACAAAGTGTGCAGACACAAATTGAAAACTTCCAGGTTTGACTGCAATATTTCGAAAAACTTACTCCTTAGTTTTGGTAATATTGATGTGTCCTAGAGAATAAAATAAGTATTCCTGGTTTTATTTTTGCTCTTGGTGTCAATGTAATAGATATGTGATAATTATTTTTCGTTTTTGGGTTAACCAGAACAAAATACTTTGGAAACAATTGTTTATATGGTATAAGTACTTTCATTTTGGAATTATATTTATTTACATTTATTAAACCAGAATTGTAAGAATTTCAAGTGCAACGAAGCAGCTGCATTCGTCTGCAATATTTAGTAAACACAATTTTAGCCACAGATTAGTCTACCAAATAATAATTGATTTATTAACGTGTATAATCGAGTCTAGCATTGTGAATACATTTAATATATTCAGTGACGGATTTTATCATCTCAAAAATTTGTGTCTCGATTCCAAAGATACGTCGAATCCAAAGATACATCGAATATATTAAAGATATTGATCGTGTTTACACCAATGGCAAGCACTCGATTTATTGTTGATACCATTGTTGATCTTTTAAAAAAATTAAAAATATAGTTCTATTTATACAATACAGTTACGTTGTTATTTCATGAATGTTATTACATTGCGTTTGTTTGTTTGTTTGTAAGGCCATGTACACATGGGTTAAAGCGAGCAACGAATAAAAGCGAAACCAATGTAATTTCTCTGTGCGAATTCAAACTTGTACACAATGTAGAAAATTGTTCATGTAATTTCGTTTGTTTTCAGTATAATGAACCGTGTGGGTTTGGTGCAGCGGGGCATTTGACTTCGTGGCAGCGCGTTTAGAGTACAGACTGTAATATGTTTCTCATGTCGGTGAAAGTCATTTTTTGTCTATTAATTAATGACAAGCAGAAAGGTGAGAAAGGCGCGCTCCTCTTCGTGGAAAGTTACCTTCAATTACATTTCGCCGATTACATTTCGCTTGACTTGATATCGAAGTCACACTTAAAATCTTGCTAATTGAGCTGTTCTTTTTGTTTGTCGATGTTCTAAATCTGATAGAAAGTTAAAATTACATATGCAATACTAATTAGCAGTATATCTTAGTATTACAATTCATGCATTCATATATTGCATTTATATTTGAGCCCGTAGGTTAGAGTCACTCACAAAATATCGTAAAAATATTTCAAACATTTCAAACATGGTCTTAAATATTTCTAAGATATCCTTATTCTTAGTAGAAATTTTAGTGGGACTCTAAATAATAAAATATTTTATGTAAGTAGTGACATAATGAATTAAAAATTCAGTTGAATAAAAAATTCTATTAAATTTCGCCAGTACTGCATTTTAGAGGCCCATTATATTATTTCAACATTTTCTATACGATGTATTTAATAATTCTAATCGTTTTAATAATGCGGACGTGTTTCACTTAATTCACCTCACGACCAATAGGATTTTGTTTTCTAAAAGTAAATATCGATTAAACTTATTTAAATATTTTCTGCTTTAAAAATGTTAAAAATATCAAAGACGTAACGAAACTATCAGTTACCATAGTCTACTCTAAGGTTCATTGCACGCGATCGACCGAACCTGGCCCTATCGATCATCTGGGATAAATCGATCGGCCGTTCGCTGGGACAAAAACGAGGCAATGATCGAATGCCACGGTCGCGGGGATCACATCTTTTCCGTTTACTTTCACTCCGAGGTCCGATGACCGGGTGAGCGTTCGAAAGTCGAGAAAGTTGCTCCATTGCGAGGAGATCCTCTCGATCTCTTTATCTGCCCCCTCTCCACTTCTGCCCACACGCTGAGAACACTTCGTTATTTGGATTATCGTTGAAGCTGCGAAGGTTCACGAGTCGAGAACAATGGCATTCCTCCTGAGCTACTGTGAATTTCCTGCAATAAAATGTTCGATTGAATTCCTCCCACGTGATATTGTTTACTAATTGAACAAGTGTTTTTATTTTACACTGACCTTAATGACTTTAAGTAATATCCTTGAATAACAGCATTTAGGCATTGAAATATAATTATTCAGTCTAATTATACGGAGTGGAAATGACCGAAGGTGCACAATGTGGATTCTTCATTTCAGTAAATAATTATTGGACTGCGGATGTTTAGGCAAGTACATGATTTCACAGATACAGACGAAGAATGGAAATTTGAATGAAAGTGTTTTATTTCCTAAACGGTAAAACATGTACACTAAGGCACATTCTTATATATTTCTCCACATTTTCATTTGTAGTAAATGCATAAACATCCACAGTGTAATAAATATAATGCTTGAGGATTCCACGCAGAAAATTAAAACATACACAATAAAAATATTTCATACATTAATACGGGTGTTATTAATAAATAATTGTAATGCTTGAAGAGGATCCAATAGAGGAAACCGATTATCTTCAACAAAAAAAACAACAAACTCTGAAAGACCATCACTCCAAAAATTCATAATTCTGATTTTCAAGGAGCAATTCCCTCTCCGATTTCAGTTATAATTTCCGCTGGTGTCTGGCTCGCATAACTAATTGCAAAAAACGGAAAGAGGGACTTCCCCGTCACGCGAGGAAACGCCTTTGAGAACCATTTCCAGGAATGACCCACATCGCGCACGCCGGAAGATTGAAATGAAGAGTTGCGTATCGCTAATTGCAATTTCCCGAAGAAACTTTGCTACGTGTTATTTCCCATGCGCTCTCGGTATCGTCGTCACGGTCACTTTGTCAAGAGTAAAAGCAGAATTGATTTCCTGGAGCGTCTGTCGGAACGCCTCGAGTTTCTATCGGAAGGAAGAGGTCGAAGAGCAGCTGTTCCGACTCACCCACACGACGCAACGAAAGTGCACTCGCCTGAGCCAGTGGTTCGTGTAAACGCGATTATACGTTCAATTTACGTTGCTTGCTGTATGTGGCATTCTCCAAACGAAAGTTTACACGCGCAACAATGTATTTTTCAGAGAAGTTGTGTTCCCGCTGGTGGCAAACTTTCGAGTTTGCGAGCTTGTTGTTTCGATAAGAAATTGCAGGAGAAACAGAGGAGGGGAACAAGTAGTCTCGAGTGTTGTGAATACGGTGTACATTTGTGTACCGATAAGAAATTGAAATTGAAATTGAAAGATTTGCAGAGATAATATTTTTACGTGGATACACAATTATTATTTACAAATACGTGAAGCAGTATTTACTTTAGAAATCAAAATCCTATTTACATAACACTATTTAAATCTTTTGATTTGTCAAATATTTATTATTAAACAAGATTTACTTATTCAAGTAGTTATTTAAAGAAGATTCGTGATTAACTGAACTGCTTGGAACTTTCTTGCATCAGTTACGAAGCAACATTTGTCGACTGGAGTCCGTCACACTCCTCCATGATTTCAATTCTGGGTTTAATAGACCTGAACGTCCTTGCTGAATGTAACTTTCTTGAGTCATTAAACGTCAGTTCCTCGTGTACACATACTAATGCTGCAACATCGGTAGAAATTTATGACACCACTATTCGTGAGTGATTTGGACACGTCACTGGAAATTCAAGTCCTATGTAATTAGTTCGAACACATATCGGCGGTACACCATTCATTCGATGATATGTCGATGATATTCTACTGCTACAGGAAACTAATGATACAGCATTAATAGATAAACAACTGGCATTAGGCGCCTGAAGACAGGTATACGTCATCGGCATTTAGTTCCGTTAAGGAGGCTGTTGTGAAAAAGAGTTAAAGAGTAGCACAAGATTGACAAATTATAATAGCATCCTCTAGATAACTACAAGCCATAAAAAGCTACCTAGTAGCGATTCACCAAGTCGTGAAAAAGAGTGAAAGAACAGCACAAGCTCGGCAAATTATAATACCATCCAACTAGATAATTCCAAGAAATAAAAAGCTACCGAGCTACCCAGATTCACCAAAAATTTCCCCAATAAAAGTTTCTTTCGCCTCGGTCTTTCAAAAAGGAACCCGGAAGACGCGCGAATTTATTCGCGGAAGCGAATCCAAGCTTCTCACGATTATTTTTTCGTGACGTGTCAACGGCCAGGTCCTCAAGGACCAGCTGGAAAGTAAAGGGGAGGATGAAACGGTCAAGAGCAGAACTCTCTGGGGAACGGAAGGCAAAAATGGAAGTGAAAGGGCATGCGTGTCCCATCGTGCAGTCTCTCACGAATATTCGATCTCTCCTCGCCTCTCCGTTACATCCTCGACCATCTCCCCCTCCCCCCGTGTTCCCTTTTCCATCCACAGGTTTTCGTATCGCCACTTTCTATTTCATTCCTGGTCGTGTCCCGTGCACGATCGTTAAACGATGAACACACGGTGCAATCTGCGCCTAATTGCTCGCGAAGGAAGCCACCACGTGCGTAATCCTCTGCCGACAGCCGTTGCGTCGCAGCTCGAGGTTGTTGCCCTGATCGAAGATTGATGTTAGGACTGGGGAGACGCTTTCTAGTCGGAGATAACTTTGGCAAGTTCAAGTGCTCGGTCGAGAATGATAATTGTCCCGCTTGAAATGACTAAGACGGAGATGGTGGTGGCGCGAGGATGACGTGTCTCTAATGTTGGGGGCCTCGCGTTGAAGTCTCCAGCGAGAGATCCATAGATGCCCATTTCTAGGTTCAATTGGAATTTAGAAGTAGAGAAAAGAGATTTTTGTTTCGAAAGCTTTGAACTTTTGTATAAAATTGTTTAGAGATTTCAAGAATCTGAATTTTGGACATTTTTGATTTTTCAAACTTCCGTCTGGAAACCTTCAAGGTTATCATCTTGAAAATTTAAATTAGAACTTTGTAACTATCTCTCAGTAACAATAGATGACCTTGAACCTTAGGTAATTATTCATCGAAGGGAAGCTTAAATTAAAAAATACGACAAGAATTGAGAAAACATTTGCTCTGTTATTATATAGCCTTATTTCGAGACCTCCATCCAACATAAACAAGGCTAAATAAAATTCTTACTCCAACATGCACTACTGAATAATTCCATCCATCCTAAATGTCCAAGTAAACGTAAAGAAATCGTCCTAAAAACACTCTAACCTTCTTCCAATGGTGAATTATCTTTCTAAAAAAAAATGTAAAGAGATGTTCCCATTAGATGAAAAAGAAATCTCGGACAAAGATAATACGCGCAATTTAAGAAAACAATTAACAGATAGACGATCTATGGATCCGTAGATATCCGCGGGACCACACGTTCACGGTTGGCCAGAGATGCGTTATTCGAGCTATGCGCGAATTTCACGAAAGGGAAACCTGACGAGGAATTTGATATCTCTTTCGCAGCAGTGCACCACGAAATCCATCTGCGGAGCAATTTATTGCCGATCAAGTGCATCCACCGTTAACAAACGACCGAAGAGAAACGTTCGTTTTGCAAATGCACTTGTTCCCTCGAATATAACGCGTCACGGAATCGGATGTTCCCGATTATGATCATTTTTATCGTCTTTTTGCAGTCTCATTTTGCTCTTCGATCAGGGAAAGCGCGTGCTCCCGTACCGTAAAACGTCGCGTCTAGCGATTTATGCAACGACCTTCGGAGGAAAGTAAATTGATGCATCCATCCGCGAGAAGCGTCCACGCGGTGACGTTCACGCAGGAATGAAAAGTGAAACGGGAAACGCTGCTTTTTGCACGCGGATGGAGTTTCCTGTGACATATAGAAATACCTGTTTAGCGTCCCACGAGGAAGACAAGGACGCCTGAGACGTGTCCCTCCAAAGTGAATTATCCGTTCTTGTTTCTACCTGAAAGAAACGGAAAAAAATGTTGGTATGTTCTATGAAGATGTAGAAAAAAGATTACATTAAGAATTTTGAAAAAGAATGATGGGTCTCCTAGAAAAAAATTCTCGAATATAAATTTTTTTTTACTTTTTATATCGTAGTCTCCGGTGAAGAGTTGAGAATGGATCTTTGAGATTTTTTGGGGAACAACCTAGACGTTGGATTGAATGAAACTTTTAGGGCTTGTTAATATACTTGTAAAGATATTATAGGAATTTTTGTATGTAAATTGTTTCAGTAGTGCATCAATTGTGTTTGATCATGTATTGTATTAGTAGGTATAGTTTCAGTCCTGTATCGAAATCAACAATTTTTTAAATTTTGAAAAATTCTTCAACATCCATCACAGTGCTATTAAAAGCTACAACATATTTAAATTCCATCGAAATTCAAAATAATATCCAAAAACTGTCAATACTGAACTAAAATGACACACTATCCACATGCACCACTAGGAATATTAATTAAACAAATACCTACAATAAATAATATCTGCCAACTCGTCCTCAGCTCTTCTATAATCTTCTCAGACGTGTTCACCAGCAATCAATATCACTCAACCGTCTCCTCAGAATCTTCCAAGCACAGTAAAGACATGTTTCTCCCTCGGTGACCATTTCTTCCACCATCTTCCTTCCCATGAAGCTCCCGTGGAACGAAATCGAAGCACCTTCCATGCTGTCCTGGGAAGAGCTGTCGCCGATCTCTTTGTTCGCCCTAGAGGGCACCAACGCGTTTACACCGCCCGAAGCGCGAATTTCTCTGGTTGCTCGGCTCTAGGTCACGGCCGTTCCTCCGCAACTCCACTCACACAACCACCAAGTACACGGGAACAGCGTCGAATCGGTGTGCACCGTCGCCAGCACGCGGGTACCTTCGATTCGAGCCTCCACCGCTGGTTGGGCATCGATCATCTCCACCTCCCCACCTGTGCTCGCTTCCGGTACTTCCTTCGGGCCCGCTATATATATTCAGGATCCTGGCTGGATATATATGACAGTGTGTTCCTGGCCATCGAGGAAAGACGTGCAAGAAGAGGCAGGAAGGAGGACAGAGCGACGGAGAGGATCATGGAGCCGAAAGCTGCTGTAAGGAAGTGACGACGTCCACGTGGATAGGGAGAGACTGTTGGGCTTTTGTGACCATAGGATAGTTTGCAAAATAGAGATAGGGTAGTTTAATTGCTCATGGTGTGAGTTGAGTCATGTTTTGTGATAGTAGGGTGATGAAGTAACTAATTTCTTAGTAGAGGAAGTAGGAAATGGGGTTACAAAGGATTTGGGTTCAAGGGTAATTAGGCTTTTGTGATCGTAGGATAGTTTGGGAACCAAAACTGGGGTAATTAATTTGTTTTCGGAGTGAGTAGAGTTATGCTTGCAATAACAGGGTGATAGATCAGCTAACTTCTAGATAGAGAAGGTAGGATATGAAGTTACAAGGGACTTGGCTCTATGGGTAATTAGGCTTTTGTGGTCGTAAGATAGTTTGTGAATCAAGAATAGGATAATTAATTTATTGAGGTAAAAAATACAACTATGATTTGATCGCTCTCTGAGTATTGACAAATTCTTATAACTTCTTTTGATATTTTGAGTAGTGAGAGGGAAAAAATTGTTTTTGTGGACGTAGAGCGTTTTGTAATGCAAAGATGATTTACTTAAATTATTCATGAAGTGATGGGACATACATTCACAGTAATAAATAATAAGCTACTCAACATACCAATTAGAGAACTCGTTTTTGTGATACGAAGGCAATGCAGTACTTAAGTTCCTGACACAATAACGAAAATAGTGTTCGTAATACCTATTTTGATACAATAGTCGAAATCACAAAAGACATTGAGGAGACTCACACTTCTGATACTAGACAGAATAATACAATTAATGATAGAGTGGTTAAGTTTACAACTATATGTGATATCAACCTGATAGACCAACAGAGCAGTCAATTTAGTAATAGAGTAATAGCAGTATCTAATTAAAGCTAACAGCTAACCCATTCCATCACGTTCACTACGTATTATAGTTGCAATAGCTCAGCTGAACTTAGCACATGTGCATAATGGTGTAGAGGAGTTTTTCATGCCCAATAGTTAGATAATCTCGACACAGTAATAAATCGGCATTTAACTTCGCAACATTGTAATGATGGAGTAGTTGCACCTTGCGCGTTCGCGTTATTGCACAAAAATGACGAATACCAAGATGTAATAAACTTCTGCTCTAAAGTTCGTAAAGTTTTATGAGAATTCTTCTCTCCACAGACGAGATGCTTGATATTCGCGACGACGTTGGCCGCGGCGCTTGCCACGTTCGGTCATGAACAGTGAGTATACTTGTACAGTAAATTAGAGACGTGATTGATCGTTGCTCGTCAAGTATCATCAAAATCTCGTTAGAGAGAGAATGGCGATAGGTGGGATGTAAAATCGGCCTATTAACTTTCTAGCGTCCATATAAGAGTCCACATACCGGAGATAGTGCAGCACGACGAGAAAAAAATCATCAAATATGAGGATCACGGAGGAGGTCATGGAGGAGGGGGAGGTGACGACCACCACATCGAAGATAGTGGCCCTATAATAGTGGAAAGTGGTCACGGAGGAGGATTCGGTGGTGGTGGAGGATTTGGAGGTGGCCACGGAGGAGGAGGAGGATTTGGAGGTGGTCACGGAGGAGGTGGAGGATATGGAGGTGGTCACGGTGGAGGATTCGGCGGGGGCCATGGGGGAGGATTTGGAGGTGGTCACGGAGGAGGAGGAGGATTTGGAGGTAAGGAAATATCTTACGGTATTAATTAGTAAACTGCGGATTTTATGCATCATAATTTAATATTTCGTTTTGCACAAAAGCCGCAGTCTCATAAATAGTAAAAGACTACAGTAGAATGTATTAATTAACTTATTGTAATATTTAAAAATAAATTAATTCGTTTATACATCTTATACACATTAGAATGAGTTAATTAATGCATTCCACTGTACATACCCCATTTACATATTTTCATTGCAAATATTCATGCCAAAGATGCTTTCACAAGACTGTTGCACAGGAACCATTCTCCCAAACAATACTAATGTTTATAAAGTAAGATCTCAACATAGAAAGTGTGAGATTTGATACACCAACTGTATTGAGGATTATACGGATCTAGAATCTTCATTTTTTTCATTCTGAAAGTGAAAGAAAATTCTCGACGTTCGTGCATGAAAATCACTAGCAGTCGAATGATCCATAAAAAAACCTGTTCGTCTTCTCGTCGGAGATAATGGGAAAACGTTCTCCCACGTTCCCCTTAGGCGATCGCAAAACTGTCTTTATTTGCAAAGAATACATCCACTGATCCATCCACACGCTCTTTAACACCGTACAAGCCGAGGAACTCGTTTCGCGAGTTTTCACTTCCGACTCGAAGCTAAGAATTTGCATCGCAATTACGCGATCGCAATCTAGACGACTATATTACTTTTAACAGGTGTTCTCGAGGTTCTTCTACAATGTAGCTGTGGGTCGATAAGTTGATTTGCAAGGCTGGACATTCACCTTGATTCTGATAGCAATATTATCGCCTTTGCTTATTTATTTACCGCGGGGTGCAAGTCCACGTAACGATGTTATTCAAGGGAGTAGATAACATGTGGAAGAATGGAGGATAATCTACATTTTTTTAAACAAAAACTACGCGACGGATTATGATTAAACTTTTTGTGATTATTTATACTATATTATATGAATATTTGTGAGATATGTATGGTACTCGTGTATGGGTCATTAATGTTTAACCTCCTAAACCATTTCTGTAGTCTTTTAATTATTTAGTTTTTCAAAATATTTTCATTTTAACAATTTCAGGTGGTCACTCGGCAATCATCATAACCAGTCCTGGTGGAGGCGGAGGTTATGGAGGAGGAGGAGGTGGAGGTCACGGAGGTGGCGGAGGCTTCGATGACCACCACGGTGGAGGAGGTTTCGGAGGAGGTGGAGGCTACGGAGGCGGATTCGGGGGTGGCGGAGGATTCGATGACCATCACGGTGGTGGAGGCTTTGGAGGCGGTGGTGGAGGCCACGGAGGTGGATACGGAGGCGGAGGTGGAGGTGGAGGCCCTATTATAGAACATATTGAAATTGGAGGCGGCGGTGGTGACCATCATGGCGGTGGTTTCGGAGGAGGAGGAGGAGGTGGATATGGAGGAGGCCACGGAGGTGGAGGTGGATATGGGGGAGGCGGTGGAGGAGGCCATGGAGGTGGAGGTGCTATTGTAGAACATATTGAAATTGAAGGCGGCGGTGGTGACCATCATGGCGGAGGTTTCGGAGGAGGAGGAGGTGGATATGGAGGAGGTCACGGAGGTGGAGGTGGATATGGAGGAGGCGGTGGAGGAGGCCATGGAGGTGGATATGGAGGAGGAGGTGGAGGAGGCCATGGAGGTGGATATGGAGGCGGAGGTGGAGGCGCTATTGTAGAACATATTGACATTGGAGGCGGCGGTGGTGATCATCATGGCGGAGGTTTCGGAGGCGGAGGAGGAGGTGGATATGGGGGAGGCCACGGTGGCGGCGGATTTGGAGGTAGTGGACATGGAGGTGGAGGTGGAGGTGGATTTGGTGGTGGTGATCACCATTCTTTTGGTGGCAGCGGCTACGGTGGTAACAGTATATCATCTGGCTTCGGTAGCAGGTAAGCATTTCTCGTTTTATAAAATTAATTAATAATTATTATCAGTACATATGATTTCATACTCAATTTTTATTCCAGTGGCCACGGTGGAGGAGGAGGCGGTTATGGTTCTGGCGGTGGCTACGATTCGTATTCCAGTGGCCACAGCGGAGGAGGCGGTGGAGGTGGCCACGGTGGTGGCGGCTTCTCTGGCTACCACAAGAAAAAATAAAATCGATTGTGGAGCCAATGTCGCGCTTCCTATCGGCCAGTTTGACCGACTTTCAAGTCAGCCAACGATCGCCCAGTCACGTTTTGATCACGCGATTATCGATGCACGTGACTCCCGATCGTAATTCAATGCACAGTGATGGGCAAAATTTGACTCGAATTACAGATGACGAAAAGAAAAAACTATAGCGACTTAACAACGATTTATCTGCTCTTTTAATTGTCTACTTTATTAATTTTATCTAGATGAGAATTTTGCCCATTTCTTTATCACAGCCAGTATACTTAAAGCACCGATTCACGACGATCGGTACAATTTCCTTGAATCGCAGGAAATATGTTGTTGAAGCTTCAAATGAATATGAAAGATTCTCAAGATACTTGCAGTATCAATTCAATAACAATGGAAGTAATTTTAATTTCTTTTTGATAGTGACACTTGGAAATGACTCTCCGCAAGATCTATTTTTAAAAATTACAAATGATACGCCGTAGATGAATCGAAGAACATATTCTGAAGCTGATAATTAATTGTTATTAGTACCATCGATCATTCGCACGATACTTAGCTCTTAGTCTCCTGCTGTATTTAATTGTCTTAATAACTTCTCGCAAGTGTCCACTCGCGTTGTTGTTACGTTTTGTACATATTCCATACTCTGTAAATATTGTTTTATGTTATTGTTTAATAAATACTTTTGTACGTTTTTGTACGTCATGCTTCTTCCTTGATCTTCCAATGGAATTCGTAGATAAGTTTCTCCACATGGACAGCATTTTCTTAAAGAGTCCTGTTGATTATTCAGTGAACTAAGCTTTGAAAATAAAAATATTGAAATTTGTTTGCGACAGTTACTCTAAAAACTTCTAATTTCGAACTGAATGGTGCAAAATTTGTTAGAAACAATACTTTTGTACTTTTAGTTCAATTTTCATTTAATTTCTCTTTTCTTCTAAAGTATTTTTGGAATAACTATCTTCAAGGATATTTAAATAGCTTCATTTTCAATCCTTAAATCACCGCACAGCCAACAGTACCTCTTCAGAATTAATTCCCAAAAACTCCATTTAAACGAGAATGATCGCCAATCCTAATTCTGACCAGAGCAGTCGCATCCTTCATTTTATTGGTCGTTAATCGTTGCAGGAAGTGCTCCATCCGGAAGATCAGGATGACGTACAATCTAGGCGAACCTGTTCCCAGTAATAGGAACATTTTTTTGTAACGATAATCGCTGGCGCAGGGACTAGTTTGAAATGGAAAGTAAGCTGAAAGTGAAAGAGATCAGATGTTATTATGGTTGCACGGAGGAGGACGATTTCACTCGTACACTCCGCGTGCTGAATCGTCGCGAACACGGATGTTGGCCTTGATCTATGACGGACGATGTCTACATTTTCTTCTGTCCATGCATGATCGCGCCTAATGATCGATCTTCGAATGAAAACCTAATGATTGGTATTGGGGAGTTCGACTAACTTTTAGGAGTTTGTTGACTCTTGTTATGATTGAAAATTAGTATTAAAACCAATCTGGTGTTTTGTTATTCAATAAATATAGTGGTAACATCACAGATTAGAGTTTTTTAAATAATAAGTCAAGAAAATTATTTTATCGTTAATGACATGGTTAAGCCTCTAGAATTTAAACTCTGGAACTATTATAATAAATAACGTTATTCCTCCAGGATTTTGAAACTTTAAAATAGGGGTAACAACTCATTTCATAGGGGTATTAACTCATTTCTTAAAAATTATAAATTGATTTTACTTGTCTGTCGCCTGCTACGGAAATTCAAAGTTTTCGCGTAATTTCCATCACTATCACACTTTAGACCTTGTTTTGCATATGAAAGATTCGAAAGTGGAAAATTAACGATTGGAAATCGATGGAGGTACAACTGGTATTATTTATGATTGAAATATAATTGCTGTCTGGAAAATAAAATATGAGAAATTAAATTTTTAACCTTGTTTCACTTTTTAATTTTGTAGATTCTCGTTGGTGTACTTTTTTAAAAGTTTCAGTCATCGACACACTTGTTTAATGGAGGAAATACTGAAATAAATTCCAACTTGTAACTCACATAGTAGTGGGGAATCCATTCCTTTAAGAAAAAATCTTAATCCTACGTTTACTTTCATCGCTTCATAGGCGTAGCATAAACGAAAACATGCGACTTTGATTGTACACTTCGATCAGAACGTTTGCCTTTCACGTTTAAGAAATTTCTTATTAAATTCTTTAATTGCTTCTATATTCTCAGCCTTAGATACTTTCAAATAAGAATAGTGCAAAGAAAATATTGCTAAATATTATTCTAGAAATTCTAAAATCTATTCTACTAAGTAATTATCGATAGTATACTTCAAGGTAACATAAATTACACGTTTATTTTATTAATAAGGTACTGTTTATAGAACATTTGATTTGAGTTATGAGCAGAACTGATGATTATTATAAATATAGGTGTTGACAAGAATTAAAGCGACGTAACCGAAGTAACTCGAATGGGAGAAAGTCAGTTTGAGCTCTAGAGGAATCGAAGGTTCTCGAAGGGGCGTTAGTATAATAGTAACAATTAGTTAACATTAACGAACATTCAATTTGCATACTCGATGCACCTCAACATCTTCATCAAAAGCCGCAGGGAGTACATTGAAGAGAAAATCATCGTAACTAATAGCGCAATTATATATGAAGCACGCTACAAAACGATGGCTTCCGAGTTAAACAAATAGCCAGCGTAATGTCAGTAATAAGTGTCCGGAAGCACGTGATTCAGCAGCGTGCTATAAATGAAGAAACAGTCGCGGTAAATTGAGAATCGTGGTAACAAGAGGCGCCGTGAAACGTGTGAATGATATTAAACGACGCTTTTATTGAAAACGTGATGAAACTATGTAGTCTGAGAAAACGAACTATCACGGCTATCTTTCTTGATCTCGTTGGATTTGTAGAGAAGATCCTTTCTCTCCTAACGAACGCCAAAGTGGCGCTTCTAGACTGTTCTAGATTGGCAGAGTAAAAAAGTTTTACTTAAAAGTTTTTCTTCAATTACTATTTAAAATTAACAATTACAACTTTGGATCACAATTCCAAATCGATGATCAACAACAGTATCTTCTAGGTTCATGATCATTTATTTGATTAGTTTACAAATGAATCTTAAATTAGGAAAGATCAAGAATAAATAAATGAAAAGCCACTTAAATTATTTATTATATTTTAAGATTGAAAATTAGACAGAGCACTTATTCCATATAAAAATTGAATATGTGTTAGCATCGAATTAATTCTTGTATAACAACAAAATCATTTAAATGAACTATATTGAAATAAATTGAATGGGTTAATGACTGGATTAGGGTATACTATGTTGAATTATATTATAAAAATAGTGTTCATGTTTCGACGAAGGCTACGATGTCTACGTCGATGATAGAAGGTGCAACGTGAAATTACGTATGATTCCAGGTGAGAGCGAATATAGGGTTGGGTGGGGTGCTTGCAGGAAACATTTTACTTGTTCCTGTACCGTTCACTGATTATGTTTCCGTTTAAAAGGCCCGTCTGGGTTGCGTACTTTAGTACCAAGACAGCAGCAGCCTCGGGAAACGTTAGGATCCTTCTCAGAGCGGACGCCAAAGACATGGAGAAGCTTCGAACACGCGTGGGTGTCGATTTTTTATTTCCAAGTTCACAAAAACGTTTGGCTTATCGGTGATTTAACACATTCACGAGGAGAATATAGTGAATCATACAGAAATAACATGTTTATTAGTTGTGGCAATGAAAGCTTTTGACCCTTAAAGTTCGGCACTTTCTTCAAATTTTATGAAAGTAATTTAAAATTATCAATTTTTCATTCAAATACGAATTTACATGGCTAATGAGAATTTATATTCATGGCAAAAATTGTAAGTTACATTATGAGAATTTACACTTGTAGTAAAAATAAAAATTAATATACAATGCATTCATAGTATAAATTAATTCGTTAAAATTGCATTAATATTTGTGAATTATGTTGGGTTGTGTGGAAGTTTTGGTTAATTTATTAATCGTGAATGAAATGTGTTGGCATGTGTTGAATTAATGCGATCAAAAGGTAGCTAACAATTAATTAACAATTATGAAATTTGAAGAGGGCAGAAAGCTTAAGAGTAGAAAACCCTTGGGATTAAAAACATTCCTGTTTCTTTTTCATATTTATAATTAATTTTCAAATTCGATACAAAAACAACTCTTTCCAACGTGATTTCTATTTATAATACCTCGAATTCATTGAAACTTTCGCTGTTTGTGAAATCGTTTTAGTGGCGACAATAGAGGATCATTAAGTTTAGATGTAGTTTAGATCTAAAACAATAGAAGGTGTTGCTCGGAGACTCGATCAATTCACCGAATGGAAACGATAAACGGCGATCCAGTTAATCATACCTTGAACGCTTTCACCTGAACTTGTAACGCAACACGATTGATTCATTTTTTGATCTTGTTTGAGATTGGTCGAGATCTTGTTCCGTTTCAGACAGATCCAATCATCTAATCAAGGTTTCACCGTTCGCATTTTTTCCTGGGTATTATGATTCTGGTTCGAGTAACTATCCGTTTCGTTAGAAAACGAACGAACTTAGATAAATATTCTTCCTACGATTATTTCATTGTAAAACGATTTTTTATTGAGTTGTACCATAATCGAAATTGAATTTAGTATCATTTTGCCTCTTACTTTTTTTTTAAATTAATGAGACAGAAATTTTGCGATCTAGTATGCAGGAACTTTTCACCTGTTCTTCGATCTTCGATTCACATCACTTTGATTTCCGTTGCAGGTTTTTCTTTTCGTCCTGGTCGTGTCCTTTGCCCTAGTGTCTTCGATGCCTCATCCTGGCGGTGGCCATCACGAACAGTAAATATTCCAATCGAACTTCAATACTTACCGTTTCGTACTTAAAATTCACCGTTGGTGTGACTTTATTTCAGCACACACTTCATCATCCACGTGCCTGAATTGATTCACAAACATTACCACACGCACGTGAAGAAGATCCATCATGTCAAACACGAGGAGGAGGACGATGGACACCAGCACATCGAAGAATGGTGACACTTTGGACTGACTTCTTTACACTGGCAACGTTTGTAGAATACTACGCATAAGTATTAAAATTGTTCTGTTATTATTGTATATACTTGTTGATTGTTATAGTTACGTTAAATAAAACGATGTTTAGAAAAACCTACACCTGAATTTTTCTTATAACTGAATATTTATTATTTTGTTTTTTGAGATTTACGAAAAATGATTTTCTTGATGACTTACGTATGGATGAGTTCTGATTCATAAAAATTGAATACGGAAGTGGAAGAGCTCACAGAAATTGAACTGAGGATACTTTGTTGTCAGGGCCATGGGGTGTTTCGAAGAAAATTCTCGCGATATTTCTCAAATATGTGTATTGTATAAAAAAATAATGAAACATAATACAGTATGTACAAGTATCTTCGAGCTAAGTACACGCGTGTGCATACCGAGTGATATCCTATTATACAAACTTAAATGACTAACGCAGGCGGTTCGAGTTATTTTGTACTATCCTTCTCTCTCTCTTTCTCTCTGCTCTTGGTACGGGAAAACTTTCCAGAACGATTTGGTCGGCGAAAATGCAAATAAATTTCCACGAAATGCTAGTAACTCGAATGCCCTCATTTTACAATCTGCAACAGAGGAACAGAAAACGCTGCGTGTACATTTTTTAGACATCTCGAGAAGATTTACAAATATAAGAGTTTACAAAATTAATCTTCCGAAGGTGGGTAATATTTTTCAAGCATAAACAAGAATATAGCTACGAGGACTATTAAATTCTATACAAAATGTTATCATAGAAAGCCCCATTATATTTCTCTGCTTGAAGATTGTTACACACCCTTATGAAATTATTTTTGTCAATTTTCTCCTGTGTGATGACACAGAACACAAACAACGCATACAAACCTCTTAATCTGTATTGTTTGATTACCTAAGAAATAACAAGCCGAAAATCGGAGCGCTCCCATTACCACCATCCCTTTTCCGCGTGAACAGGTACAGGCACGTGCACCTTCTCGACAACCGGGACAGGCACGTGAACTTTTTCGACGTGATGAACTGGCACTGGTACTGGAACCTTTTGCACATGATGGATAGGAATAGGGACGGGGACGTGCACCTTCTCGACGTGGTGCACAGGTATCTTCTTCACGTGATGATGATGAACCGTGTGCACGTGATAAGGTACGTGGATGCGTACGTGATGGTGAGAACTGAAATCAGACGATCGATTGTTGTTATATTTCAAATTCAAACAAATATTTTAGGATCAAACTGTGCAGTCTCAGAAACGAGAATTAATTTTTTTTAATGTTTAGACTCTTTCTCGATATCTGTAAATATTATAATTATATTTAATTCATTCTTAAACGTAAAAAGTTCGATGTTGCTTAAAAATATTTAATTGAGAAGTAGAGGGAAGAGAAGAAGAAATCTAATAAAAAATAATAAATATTCTTCTGACAACCATAAGCTGCGAGATATGCGTCGAATGTCGAAGGCACTTCGTCAACTCACCTGTGGTACCCTGGCACCGGTGTAGACATGGCGACGGCCAGTATTCCGAACACGATCAACTGCAACACGAATGTGAATTTGTGATTCGTCTGTAACGCGGCAAATGCACCGCGACACGACGTGTCAGGTGTGTCGTTTATATGCGCGACGGTATTTTTTTTTTCCTTTTTGCAATTTCACTGCTCGTGCTACGTGCCTCGCGCGATCACGCGTCGTTGGGGTGAAAGCATCTTGTTCTAATTTTTACCAAACCTGATTGAAATCAATTTACGAAGGCGACACCTTCGAGACTGCGATAGTTTTTCCGAAATGAAAACGTAGAAATGAATTTTAGGAGAGTAATTTATTTTACCTGAAACCAGATCCTGAATCTAAGATGCCTTTTCGAACGTACTATTGTGGAAAATTATATTGTAATATGCGTTTTTATATTTTATTATAGAAATGAGATTAGGGTTTATGGTCCTCTGTTTGGTGTTCAAATTGTTCATGTTTGTAACGTAATGTTCTTAAATTCTAAATTCTCAATTTTAACCTCATTTTTGTCAGAATGTTTTTTCTTTATTGTGCCAATACGAATTTCAGTGTAATGCTTGTAGCTTGACAGCATGAAATACATGAATACACAATAAAGTCTGAAGACAAAAATGTTTCCCATATGTTTATTAACTTTTCGGCCCCGTTTTTTGTCTTCTTCGGTAACAAAATATTCATAAATAATTCAATTATTGTTACTGTGTCACGTTACAAGAGAAAAGAAGTTATATTACAGGAATATCAAAAAATTTGAAGATTTAGAATTGATAAAATGTCAATCAAATTACATACAAGAATTACATGTGTTACCATACTTCGTAACCGTTAAGGTCATCCATGATGCCAAATATTAGTTTCCCACTTTTTGAACGAATTAAAAATGAATAAATACATTTTGTATATTCCATAAATTTTCAATCTTCGAAAAAGTAGACCACCTAACATTCTTATAATTCAACTCGTCTGTTTACCTGACACGATATTAACAATTATATCATTCACGTTCAAAGATAGTTCTATAACAGAAAAAAGAACCCACTATCAAAAATAATCAGCCTCCACATCCCATCAATCCATCATCTTCCCCAGTTCCCCTAGCTACTCCTCCCATCAAAATACAATTCCAAATCAAAACTATTCGCCCAGCACTTAGATCAATCCAATACATCTAAATACACGAACGACTGACGAGAACTTGAAACTTCATCGATTATCGATTCACAAAATCCGCACTTTGCACCAGAAAGGCCCCCGGAACGATGTACTCACGGCGAAGGTCTGGGAGCGCATCTTGGTCGGCTGTTTCTGTTCTTCCGTGGAAAGCTCTTCCTCCTCGCGGAACTAGGCCCGACGAACGATGATCCAAACGACCGAACAGCAGATGAACAAATCGAACGAGGAGGATGTCTTGCGACGATCACACGACGGAGGTTTTACGGATGTCGTTACGTTTCTGGCTTTGAACGGCCGGGAATGTGTGCTTATAAAGGACGAACCGCGGTGGCCAAAACCACCCGGTGAAAAGCCACGGGGTGGGAGAGCAAAGTCGCTCGACTTTACGGTTACGTAAAAGCTAGGAAGCGGGCCCGCCGCTGGTTACGTTTCGTTCTGCCCCCCTCTGGCCCCCTTAAGCTGCGTAACACACCGCGTACGGTGCGTACGGCACGTGCCCGGCTCCCCATCGCTGAGTAATCCGCTCGGAGCCGATATGAGAATCGGAAAGAATAGGTGAGAGGTAAATAATTGCTGCTGTTAATTCGTCGACGCGTCGCTAATGACGTTACGTCGTTGCTCGGGAAAACGCCGAGTTTCCTGGATTTTCCGCGGTCGGACATTGATTTTGAGTCGAGATTAGGTCGACTGCTGCGTGATAATTACTGGAAAGGTAAGAGTTAACTTGGAAATTTCTTAGTTTCGCATCTGTTTCTTGTTTTGATCTATTTTATTCTGTTATACAATTTTCTTAAGGTTCTTTTTTTTTATCTTTGATGAATATTTTATCATTGGGAATATTTATGTACGAGTTTGTACCTTAACGAAGGCTTGGTAAATTGCCTTATTTCTTAGTCAATTGTCTTGGTCGTCACACAATTATTTCGTTGTAAAGCAATGTCTCGAAGGTATCTCCAGCACTTGTGTTTCTTCGGCTAGAGCGATCTGTCGACTCCCCTAATGCTAGGACGTGATTATGCTAAAAAAATTATTCAATAAATACAGGCTTATAAAAGAGGTTACAAACACTGTGTTTAAACTGTGTACAATCTCCTACATTATACTATTGAATTTTGAATACTAGTATAATCAAGGAGATTGTACCGTTACCAATCAGACTCACTATCCAATTTCTCACCTCTGCACATCTATCCAACCATATATATGTAAATACAAATTAATGTATACATTACTTCACTTCATTATACGAAGTATATTAAGTATACTAAATTTCCAAGAAACAATCTAACACGATGAACCAGAGAAAAGATGCGACTTTTCGATCGAACGGCAGGAAGTGGGTATCGTTTCCTCATAGTTCCTTTCCAATAAAATAGTTTCTCATTTGCATCAGAAATCGGTGATCGCATAAAGTTTTCGCGGAAAACATCGTCATCTCTAACGATGCCGAGGTGAAAGCTTCTTTTAGTAAATGTATGATAACTTGGCACTATTCGTCTAACATCCAACCGTGACGAATAAAAGTAAAACCATAAGATGCACTCCCTTTGTAAAAACACCCAAAAGATTCGATACACACGGTATCGACACCACTTATAAATAGTTCAGGTTTATGCATCTAATTTCAACATCGTGATCTAATTTTGAAATTGCTACGTGCTGTCATCTCGCATGCTAGGTGACTTTCTCTTGGACCATGTTTCCGTTTTTATAGAGACTATCGCAAACGTGGAATTGAAAGCGGAATATCAATTAAAATGAGACTTCTTTCGCAGAGACGTCAGATTTTCGACATCTAGGTTCGCTTGAAATGTCTCTCTGCGTTTTTGGATGGAATGTAGTAAGCCCGCGAGCATTGCACAAACCGTTATCGATCAGTTTCGCGATATTGCGGTTAAATCGCGAAATTATGTCCACATTCGGCCCCCGGAAGATAAGTCATTCAGGCATCACGTAACACGCCGTGGACATTGGCGGAATATTTTTGCATTACGTGATCGATTTCACCCAAATGGCTCCGAAAAAATGTCGTATAATCGAACGCAACTGCGACATCGTGCGCATCTTCTCCAATTGTATCGCAACATCTGCAATTATATAATTATTGTCTCCTAGAGAGAGCCTGCTATGTAGACCGAAATGTAGAATTTCGAAATAAGCATCTATGATGCTTAAAAATTTAATCATTTATCACTTGAATATTTATGCATGAATTATATAATAAAATTAAAGGGATTAAACCTTGTATGTTAAAAAATTCAGTTAACTTTGTAATTTTATTTGTTTGATTATTTAGAGCAATGTTGTTTTGAGTATCTTTTAAATGTTTTACATTGCCAGAAAAGAAAAACTATAGTACCCTTACTATCTTAATTAAAAAAAAAAATGAACTAATATAAATTCTGTTTATGATTTCAGTCAACTTAACTGGAATAGTCTCCATTGAGTTTCCAATTGGATGCATTATGCGGTAGAGGACTATTCTCATTTACATACAGATAATTGATATCCATATCAACGTGTCACTGCGTTCTTTCACGAAAAAGAGAAATTCTGTTGCGTGTCACCCGTGACATGTTGAAACAGCCCAAAAAGGTCGATTCTTGTTTTCATCGACGCGACGGGAACGTTGACACTGTCTGCTGGTCGGTGACATAATCGCAGGGCGACCTCAACGAGCGAAGCGACCGCGGCGCGCCAGTTTATTGACTATTAATTGCATTCGAACTGCGAATCTAGCTCAGCGTTAATCGACTGGAACCTACCAAGTAGAACAAGACAATTTACCTCTCATCATTAACCTAGACATGATCAAACTTCGTTTACTATTCCTCTTAAACATCTTTTAAAAACACTTCAGGTATAACTTATATTACGCATACGACATCAACAGAATCCCTTAAATGATCCTTACTTTTAGGTTGTCAGCCCAATCCTAACATGGTTTTTTCACATTTAATAAAATATATTGAAATCTCCCTAACAAAGCTATAAATACGTAATCTATAAAACGTTGCATCTGTAGCTTTCGCCAAGGAAGTGAAGGGAGAACCCAGGAAATCCTCAACTCCAAGTCGAGACCTTTGGAATGTCTACTTTATGTCGCGTGCTCAGAGCAACAATCCTCTATGACTTTTCCTTCTTTCCTCGAACCTGTAGAGCAAAGACAAGTCCTAAATTCTTCTGGAAGGACATCATCATCGACCGTAACTGGGTTAATCGCTAACTTTGGATCCGAAACAGAGGACGCTTAATTGAGTAGAGATTGCATACTTCGTTTCGTTTCCTCCCAAAAATTGTGAAATTCCCCTCTTCCGGCCGACAATTCGGCGTATCGTTGTTTCCCAGGCCAATATCAACGGTAGTACAATGTCCGCGAACGACTCATTACAAAAGTGTACTAAAGTCGTTTTCCTCGGGACGCTTTTACCCCCATAATTACGAAACTTTGACGTATTAATTGAATATAAAATGTCTAGGCGGGTAATAAACGAGCGTGCCGCAACTTCCCGTTTCGACATGTTAATTTAATCGATACTAATTTGCATCCGTTCACCCGTCAATCTTCCAATTTTCTTCCAGTGAGGATGGTGTTAATACCACCTTGGAGGTGGGATGTAGGAATGGATGAGTAGGATGACGGTTGACTATAAAGTCTGATACGCCTCCTCAGCCAATATTCGTAGAATACTATCACTTGTAACTCCACTCTCCTTTGATTCGTTTATTCGAAGTGACTAAGTTCACAGCTGAATTACTCAAACTGTTGCCTTTGCTGAATGCACCCAATCACATCTGCATCGTATCTAAATCACAGTGAGCGTAGTCATAATTGAGGCTCCACTGAAGAGTACAACTCTGTTTCAACAAATGATGCTACCGGTACCATCTATACAAGAAAGAGTTCTAATATTTTTGCAACAAGTCCTGGTTACTAAATTTCTCGTCCTCTAATTCTTAACACTAGCAACTAAAAGAAATCTACTACAGCTTCAAATAAATTCCAAGAAGGCTGTCAATTTTCTTTGTATTCATTTCCCTGCGTTCCTGTACCGAACAATGTGAAAATGCTTCTAGCGCGCAAGGAAGAAAAGAAAAACCGTGCAATTTGTATAGTTGAAATTCCACGCACTCTTGATGGGATACTTAGCCTCGGTTCTATGACTTTCCAGTCGATCGCTCGTTTCTTTCAAGGAAGGAGTCAGTGTTAAGACCAAGGTAAGGATCGAGACCATGTTGTGCCGTGCCGATTACATCCATTTTTTTCTTTTTTTTCGTACATGCATCGCTGGCCCGGGCAGTGCTGCAGGAAGCGGTGCTGGCTGCATACTTAAAATATCCATCATACAGGGAGAAAGCGTTTCGTAACCCTCTCGTGTGTGGCGCGTATCTTGCGTGGCGGGTGCAACCAGTAACAAAATGAGCCGAGAAAGGTACGCGATTCACGGTGATATTGGAAACTCGGAGTCATCGTGATTACGCAAGGGCACTTCCAATTCGGCTCACCTTTCCAATGGTCCATCGTCAGGCCCGCTATTGCGCGGAACCATAATAACTTGGGACCCAGGACTCGGCCCTGAAATTTAAAAAATTTTTTTCATTAATAAGGAATTAATGAAGAGATTGATAAAATTTTATGTTATATATGGCATTGATCTTAAATTATTCTATTGGACTTTTCACTCTTTTACCAGTTTTGAATTTATTTAATATTTTACTGTAACTTTGTACATCTGTATTGGTTTCTTATGTTTTCAACGTATTGTAGTTTATAAGGATTTTTAAGGACGACTTGTACTTTAGATAACAATTCTATGAAAAGTAAATGTTTTTAAATTACAGAGCTTGGAGCTCAAATGTTCTCTCAGGTGCACCAGACTCTAATAAATTTATAAAATAGACTTTATATTTAGAGATAAAATAGTATAGTAACGATTCCTTGAAATAATCCATATTTTTTGAACAACGAAGATGTGAACATTTTGTAGGTAAAATTCTCAACAGATGTATGATTAATCTATAAAATAAAATGCATATTCCGAGACCCAATAGCACAAGAGAGAACACAATTATAAATATGGTGTCATAGGACCTTATGATGCTCACAAGCTTTGCAATAAAAGCTTGAATTATACTCTGTTCATTCTAAAATCTTCTCTATTTATTTCAACGTGATCAATCAAATAGTCAATCAATATCATCGATTCGTCATCATTATAAATAATATTCAGCCGAGGTAGTCACCCAAGGATTTCCTCAAGAGTTGCGCAAGGTCCGCGTAGACCCTTTTCGCGTCCACGACACGTCTTACGGTGTGACGAAAGGGGAGAAGACCGGAACCCGTACGTAAAAATGGACAAAGAGAGCAAAACGAGCGCCGACGGGTTGCGGCATTTTGTGTTTTCGATGTTGTGCCTGTAATCGTTCCACGTTTACGTAAGAATCGCGGGCAATCATCCCCACCAAGTTCCAAAACTCTTCTACCTCCTTCGTCCTCCGTGAAAGTCGCTCGGTAGGAGGCCGATTTTGAGGGAAATATGGTTCGGTTAACGTGCCCGACGAGAGAAAATGAGAAATGCGGCCGATGAAAGTCAATGGTTGGAACCGATCCAATGGGTGGTGCACCGCGTGCAGGAATAATCATAAACGACGGTTAATTGTTCAAGGCGAGCGCGATTTATCGAACGCGGAATCGACGAGGTGCTCGAGACGGCCGCGGGGATCAACCTTGTTACGAGTCTCCTTCCTCTTGGCGGTTATGCGATTATATAACCGCGGTTCCGAAGCGGAAGGGAAATTCTGAGCTCCATATTTTTTATACAAATTGGACAGCGAGATCGTCTACATCGATCTCCGTGCACGCAGCGTTTCGCAATAATCGTTGCTTTCCAGTGGTAAACAATGCTGTTACGCGATAAACCAGGCCTATATGCCACGATTAGGTTTATTTGTAAATAGAGCGATTTTAATAATTTACTGATACAGTACAATAATGCCCCTTGACAATCTTTTTACTCGGCCCTGTCTGGCATCATTCTGGATAAAGAATTAATTCCAAAACAAAAAATACCTTTATTTCATATTTTATATATTCAAATAATGTTGATTTACCGCCGCAGGTATACGTTAGGATGGACCCTAGTGCTTCGTCCGTGAACTAGTTATAAACACATCATTCTGATTGGCCGACACTTGGCGGTAGTGAAGCGGGCGAACTTCAGTAAGGTGATGTATCTCGAGCGACACGTTCACGTCATTCGGTTCGTGATGGAGAGTTGGCGGCAAATTTTCTTGAAATCAGTAGAAGTGCAAAGAATAAGATCGAACGGAGTCATTTTGTGAATATTTGAGTCCTCGATACGAAAATTCGTATCGTTAGTGAATCTGTAAGTGTTGGATCAACTTGGAGGAGAATTGGCGTTGATATGTGTGACAAGTTTGAAGGTAAGTCTCTTTCGTACAATACATACCCACCAAATCGGCGCGAAATCATATATAGTTTCATGTCTACACTTTCTTCGAGAAAGTTCTTTGGAGTGATTGTCCCTAATTTTTTCGCTAAAAATGTACTGACAAAGGGAGGCACATAATAATATACATATTTCCAATGGAATATAGCAAATGTATGAAATAACAATGAACCATTTTCCGTCGGTATGGCTTCAAAATGTAATTGCTAGCTTGATTGCTTCAAATGAATACCATTGCGTAATTTCTACGGTTTATCATCTTGTCGTTGTAGTGTATAAACACACGTTACGCGTAGTAGTGCTTTCTAATGTTTCCGAGTATGAATTTCTCCACTGAAATTCAGAAAAATCTAACATACAAAAGTATACCATACATATACTGTAGGAATTCAAACATAGGATATGCACAGAAAATTAGGAATGAAATAACAAATTATACGTTTTAAAGAGTATTTTATTTTATTTGCATTTCTAATTGGCAATTCTAATTCTAATATATTCCTAAAATTGTTTTTTTGTACGTAGTACATTATAGATCTAATTAAAACACTAAAGAATTATTGAATATATTTTATATGTCCATCAATATATCGACAAATTTTGTAAAGATTGCTGCCATTTTTATGTCGTACCACATAACGAATATATTATTGAAATAGGATTAAGTATAAAGTAAATAATATTTAAAATTATTTCTTGGTGCGAAATGATGTCAGAATTCTTTCACGTTCTTCCCTTTTGGAGAATCTCAATCACAGGAAGAGGTTTCAATCGAAATTAACATCGTGGTTCGTGACAGAGATCGTGTCGCTGATCGGTTAGACGGAAATTGTTAATGAGAGACATTTTATTTCATTGGTGTGGCATCACCGATTAGAAACCGCGTTTCTAGCGGTGCAACGACCATTCAACAATGTTGGCCCTTCATTCTCTAACAGCTGTATAAAAGCGAAACTGACACAAGTCGATTTCGCACATTTCCTTGCGCGGAATTTAAACGAGATTCGATGGAAATATCTCAAGAATGACATCGTATTACGAGGGTATTGAAATCAGACGAGAAAATGTTAGGAATTACGAAACGTTAGCTGTGTTTCTTCTCTCTTTACGTCGTATTGCCATCGTTTGTCCCATCGAGTCCCTCACCTTGAGCACTCTAGTATTAGATACTAAACATTGCGAGTGTAAAGAAAGGAATATAATTTTAATGTAATACAAATTCAGATCTATGAATACACAAAAGAAATACATTTATTCATTTTCAATTATTAATATTTATTTAATGTTCAAAATGCATCAAGCTGTGGATATAAATCTGAGATCCCACTCAGTTTATTCAGTCATTAGAATTTCTGAAATTGTACTCTTTTCATTTGTTTCTTTTCAAATTCTAACAGCTATAGTTGTCGAGAACAACTTTTTGCTTTTGCTTTTTAATCGCAACAGAGTTTCATTGCAGAATAACGAGAAGAAATTTTATCTTTCCTGTATACCAACAAATATTACATAACACACTGTAATAAAAGTTTCTTAAGTACAATAGCAAGCACATAAGAATTACTTCTTCTTCTTCTGCTTAACAGTAGTTTCTAACTGTGGTTTCTGCCACTCCACGGGCTTACGTCTATACATAGGCCACGGTGGCAGAGTAATTATAGCAGCCATCACGAATCCAGCTGTAAGCATGTATATTGTCTGCGAAAATTGTTGGAGAACGTAGCCCAATATTAATCCAACTACCTACAAACACATACCAAACGTTTATAAACAATATTCAAAGATCACACACGACATACGTATTTCAAATATATTTTACTCCGAAAAGCGTTATGATGATCCTTGACACCCTCTCTGCTCGACCCTGGCCCTCGTAGTCCTGAACAGAAAAATATTTTCATTGTAAAATTCATCCTTATTGAATGCAACACCTGTTGTACTGGGTAACATAACCTAACTGAAGGATGTTAAATGTCTATTTACATACAGTTGACACCGTGCTATGATCAATTGATAAACTTACCATATGCATCGGAATGGAGGTGATATATTGCAGCCACGAGTTCATTGTAAACAAATAATGCAAACTTGCCGGCAGAAACTGACATGCAAATTTCAAGTTTCGACACACTACGTACACCAAGAGGATCCAAGCTCACGTATTAAAAGTTGATACAAAGATTGTAGCGCCGCATGGGAAAAATTTACCTAACTAAAGTGTGCAACGCATGCGCGTGTATGCATACATATACAGTAGCGGGTTTGTTTAAATTGCTTTAAGTTATTTAAAAGAAAGTAAATCAGAGAAAGTGCAGACGTAGTTTGAAGGATTTCCGTAATTTCAAAAATAATATTGGCGCCGTCTATGTTTCTATTCCAATCACTTATGTACACAAACTATCAGCTAAATAATGCTAAAATAAAATTCTAATAAAAATTTCGCGACGTTCAATCATTGTTCAGACGATCCTTCGTCGCGAATAATAGCGAGCTAATGGCTGCGAACTTGTAATAAACACTAAATTATAATATAAATAATATAGTTTATTTTGTCATCTTTCACAATGTGCAAATTTTCATCACAATCGACTTACTTCAACAAGTAACACGTAATCATTTATAATACATAAATTAAATAAATGCATAGTATAAATAATACATGCGATCGTCTTATGTTCAGAACATGTAACGATGGACCATAGACGTATGAATATATTTATATGACTATATTCATATTTTCATATGTCTATGCGATGGACAGTAATATTGGTGAGTTTTGTTGCAATCGTGCATCTCGAAATGGTCTTTTTATATTTTAAGTACAAAAGAGGTTTCGTCGTCAGTTAGAAGTCGCACTATTGGCGCAAGCGGCGTGCAACTATGTTAGCAATTCGCGTTTCACGCCGATGGTTAATGACCTGGCTGACACGCGCTGCTACACTCACTGAATTCAAAACGAGATCGCGATAAAGTGTCTATATACATAGGTATGCCAGCGACATTGAGCAAGAAAATTGGTTGAGTTTACGAAAACACGGAACCTCTTGTTTTTTTCTTTAAGTGACTTCCTGTTCAGGGTTATTAAAAACCTTAAAAATTGACGCCACAGCAATTTTCTTAATAGATGTTCCTAGTATATATCCATTCGTACCCAATTGAATAAATATTAAAAAATGCTTCCTCTGAACAGGAAGTTTGGTGAGGTATTACTGTATTCTTTTTAGCAGCTTCCTTTTGGAAGCCACGAATTGGCATATCCTGTCATAGTCTCGCGATGGAAGTGTCCACGTGTATCGTTGAGCTCCACGGCATCGAGGATGGTTCGAGGTTGCATTTTGCAAAATGCACCGCGTCTGAAACGGTGGGAAACATGGCGAACAGGTCTCCCTTGCATTCTGGCAGCCCGCACTTCCTCGTCATCTCGTACACGGGCCCTAGAATATGTTAAATTGGGCGTCGAGTGTTAGAATAAATTGTGTGCATTGAGGTTTATTTTATCTTGGGATGTAGTGTCGTCCCATATTAGGTACTATGTTGCTATCGAAGTTATTGACACAGAGAGTTAATTTGCTTTGCAACGTATAGTTGCATTAAGTAACAGAGCTTAGAAAGTCCTGCAACAACGTTGCCAGCGTCTTAATCACGTGCACCTGTCGCAGACACTTCCGTTTCCCTATCGATCCTCGTTCCAGGACGCGATCGATCGATTATACTCACCTGAGCAACCTGCGATGTACACGGAGACATCAGCCTCGACGTACTCGTTGATCAAATTTCTTAGGGTCGTCGCGCCCGCCAGGTCTATGTGACTCACCGCGGTGAAATCCAGTATCAAGACTTGCAACTGCAACACGACCACAAGGAAATTAACATTCTCGCTACTCGATTACGCAAGTCTCGTGTCTCGTGATTTGCTGACGTTTGAAGTCGATGAAGTGTATCGGTGGTGGTCGGGCGAGTCTCGTGATCGACGGTTGTCCAAACGATAATGAATGATACTTTACTACGCGATGTCCCTAATTGGAATCTTAATAAAACATCTGTGGAGTTCAACGAGGAAATTTTCTAACATTTTCACATGAAGTTACATGAAGTTTTTTTTTTAACTACATCTGACATTTAATCATTTATTCGAATACTAATTAGTTCCACTTTCTTTGTAATTGATTCAAAGAAATACTAGTCCTTAACGACCAAGTCCCTTGATCAAGATAGCAAATGAAAACCTTCAAGTATCCAACGATTGCTCTCTGCTCACCTTTTTAACTTCCCTCAATTCATCATGCTTGAAGCCTCCATCCGATTCCTTCCTGGGTATAAGTCCTGCAACCTTGTACACCTGATCGCGGAAGTACTGTCGACAGGCGAAGTTCAGGCTTCCCGAGTAGTGGAATACTTTTATGCCAGGCAGCTGTACAGTCTGAAAGAACACTTCCTCTATCAAGGAATTCCATGAAACCGCTCCAGCCTGAATTGTCGCAACGATGGTGCGTTATAAAAGTGAAACAGTACTGAATTTTTCTCGAACAATTTCGAATAAATTACGCCTGACGTTCGTCGAAGGAGGTGAAAGTAGAAAATAGGTGAAACGAGATAAGAGAGTACTGATGTTATTCCGTACGTTTTTATATCTCTTGGAATCCAGATAAAGCTCGGTACCAGGCACCAGAGCGAGCACACAGGTGTAAGGCTGCACAGCGAAGAGGATCAGCTTGCCTACGCAGAGGACGATCCCCAGAACAAGGCCGTACTCGACGTCCAGGAGAACCACGGTGATGAACGTCGTCGCCCAGATGATCCCGTCGGTTTTGTCCAGTTGCCAAAACCTCTTGAACTCCGTCACTTTCATTAGCATGCCTTTCAGGGCCACCACGATTATGCTGGCCAGAACGCACTGCTCGAAAAGAAGCGGATTCTTATAAACATGTGTACAGATTCACTTGAAGCATACATGTAATATTTCGGTATATGTTTTGGCTGTAAGGTCCTTACATCTGCAATAGGAAGTTTGGTTCCATTTGTGTAGAAACTTGTTATGTGTATGTTTGAAGTGGCTGTGTGTGGAGATGTGAGTCTATTAATATTCGTGGGTCTATACTCTGAAGAGAATTCGTTTGCGTAACAGGCATGCATCGAGTCTTCGTTAACTTTTAATGTATCTGCGTTCGTAAGTTGAACTTTATCATTTAAAGATAGTGTAATGGGTGTCTTATAAATCTCTTATTATAAGCTTATAGGAATTATAAAGCTACTTTGTTACTAGCGACTCCAGTGGCCAGAGACTATCGCACGACACTGTATCAAGTCTTTGCAAATCGTGCAAATTTACATAACAGTCTGCATCGAGATCGAAAGTTGTTTTTCGCCTGAGGCAAAGATCACTGGTTGGAGTCAAAGGGCAGAGATCACCTGCTATCCGAGGACTCTGACTTCGTCGAACGGTTGGTCACTCACCCGTGGCAGAGGCTCGAAGAACGGACCAATCCACAGCAGCACGCTGATTAAAATTCCGCATGATATCAAGCTCGCCAGCTGTGTGTGTCCACCGACAGTCTGCTGGATCAGGGATCTCGACAGCGAGGCTGTGAAGGGCATGCAAGAGAAGAAAGAACCGACCAGGTTGCCCATACCCTGAAAATTGATCGATCAGGATGTCCTTTGATTAAATCATTCAGTTTTATCTCGATATTATTGGGGATTTGGTATTTATCGTTAGTCGTATGTAGATGTAACTCAAACATTTATTTATGTATAATTCAACTGTAATGAAGGTATCATACTAATTTTATATGAACACTCTAAGTAATAAATTAAAATTCAAGCTATGTAATTGGGCATTTAAGGATATGTTTAAATAATAATATTCAAGATTTATTCATACTTATCCCATGAATAATTGTGGTACCAAGAAGAAAAGTACAGAAAAATTAATTTCTCAAAGGGGAACCCCTTATCAGACAAAAGAAAGTAATACTCCAAGTCAGAGAAGACAGTGTACTATAAAGAGAAGATATCATGTAATAAATTATTCAAAGGCCCTCGACTTAGTATAATACTAATGAGTACGTCACTGGTCCTACTACTCTTCCTCACACAGCGATAAGATCTCACGTCTTGGTACATTATCGCGGCCAAGGAATTAGCCTTGTCGAATGAAGGAGCTGACTTTAACGAACTGGGTCACCTGTGACTCGAATCATAGAGTTTTAATAGAAAGATCACGTGACGGAAGTGCCTTGAAAGCGGAACTAGGTTGAGGACTAAAGTTCTAATTTACTTGGAGTTTCCTGTTCGAGGCAAACTGAATGATTAGGATGGTGTTATATGATTGAACATTGAATTCACCTGTGCCATTAATTCCTGATTCGAGTCCACTTCGTAGCCGAGCTTCTGCGCGAAGATGAACGCCATGGACATGGAGATGGTGTAGGACACCATGGTGATGACGAAACTGTCCATTAGGATGCTTGGTATCAATTCTAGTGGAGGCATAGATGGGTTTGGTAAACTAGAAACGAAACGAAAAGGAACTGTTCGGTTTCATTTATTTAATAATGGAGTTGTGATCGTTAGTTACGTTCTCGAAGAAATACTGTTACCCGACTGGTATGTGACCAACGGTCACGACGCTGTAGGAGGTTGCAAGATTCCCATAGACGGATATAAGCGTGCCGACTATGACTGCCATCATCTCTATGGGGACGGGGAAAGGACTCAGTTTCGCCACCTTTGGCTGAAAATAATAATCGATTTATCATTGGTTTTTCTGTTAAAAAGTTGTTCAGAAACTCAGAAGTTGTGTGTGGTTTGTTCATTTAGATCAAGCCAGGTCAAGTTAAGTGAGATCAGGTCAAGTCAATTTTAATTATATGTGTAAATAAGTTTAGACGTTTGGTTGAGCGAAAGAAAGTGACTGATTAGAGTAGTAAATCTTGGACTACTTTTGAAATGTTATAAACAGAGAAGTGGTATTAACCTTCAGAAAATTATTGATGACGAGAATGACGATGGTGACGCTTGAGAGCAGAATGGCCACTCCGTTGACGTTCTGGATATTGTTGAAAACGTCCGCATACGTCTGTAACAAACGCAAACAAATGTGTACCCACATAAATACATGTTACTACACGTCCATACAATTCAGTTTGTGAATTTACATATATACA